AAGATGATGACGACGATAGGTTCGCATGCGTTCTTGTAAACCTCGCTAACTGGATTAAGGAAGTTTCGTAATTAAAGACGCGGAATGGAAAAATAATTTGTTACTGATGTCTTAAGGTTAAAAAATAGGTTGAGGTTTTTTTAATTAGTTTTCAAGTTTCTTTCAATACCCTGCTTATATTTTAAATAAACGATAGGGAGCTGACTGAATCAGTGTAGATAATAATAATAATAATTTACCAATTTATATAGCGCGTATTTACATATGCTGATCAATAACGCTTCATAAACTACAGAATACCTCGGCTATGAAAACTTTAATGAAAGTTTAATTGGATGGGGATTTTGTAGCTTGTTAAACTGAAATAAAGTCACTAAGGTTTGTTTTCTTTTTGTTGTTTTGTTGTTCTTGTCGTTTTGTTTGCTATCACTGACAAATAACACTTGAGTAAAAGAAAAACTCAAACTGTGTACACCGTTAAAATAAAAGTTGAGATCACTAAAGTGAGTCAACCGCTTATAAACGAAGCTGAACGAGCTTATATATTGCACCATTAATCCTTTAAGTCCCAATAGTGATCAACATCAATTTTCTTCTAATATCCATATGTTGCCAAGAGAAATGGTTATGAGAGTTAATAAAATGATCACTAAAGATAAAATGCTTTGATCTGTTATCAAACTCTCTCAACTAATTCTTTAAGGAAATGTATGAAGATCAGTATGGAGAATTTATATGTGGATTTTGGGGCTTAAAGGGTTAAAACGTATTGCATGCATGATTTCATCTTAAAAAGTGGAGCGACCTATATCGCCGGCACAGAGTAACAGGCTGGGCACCATCATTGCGAAGAGCTAGAAAGAGGAGCGGGGGCGTAGACAATGCTACTTGTTCCGGAATGAAAACAATAAAGCTGACCCTCTTTATTCGCATTGGCGGGACATTAAGTGATTTCCTCTGGCAAAAGCCTAAAATGCCAACTTCGCCTTACCGTTTTTCAGTCACTAGTAACTCACTTTGTGCGGTGTAACCTTCTAGTATGAGTAGTCAGCTGAAGTATGAGATATTCAAGCAACGAAAAGTGGAATTATTACAACGGAGATGGACATTAAGAGATGGACACCACAAATCTGGCAACGCATGTTCAGTAAGGACTGAATTGCAACGGCGAATTTTTCTCATTATTTTGAGAGATAATGCTTTTTTAATTAGGATTTATTCCATTGCCCAAAAGTAAGAAACAGAGTGGAATAATCGAAAGTCGATGTTTGGTTTTCAGCTGGATATGTGAAATAAAATATCACGTTAATTTTGTTCACTAACATTTTTGTTGTAAAGTACCTTAATATGGATGGCATATGCATCAAACTCAATATAACGCCGCACGGTTTGTTTGTTTTATCCTAATGAGGATTGTTTGTTTAGTAACCTGCTGAATCATCTATGAGAACTGAGCTGCATTGAGAAAACAACATAACCACGAAATATACTGAAGTTCGAAATACAAACACAAAAACGAAAATTCATAAGATAGGAAGTAGTTTCTAATACTTAATAGGCAGCTGATAGGGGCCCACTTTTCCGGCAAACACTCGCTGTCTAAATATATTTAACGTAATTTTAATTTTACAAAGGGTTTGTTTTGTAGGGATCTCTAAAGGTTTACAGCTGCCGTAAACAGAATAAAAGATAATATGATATTGTGAATGACAAGTATCACAGAAAAGAAAACAATTTAAGGAAGTTTCATATCGGATATTTTTGAAAATTCAAACTACACTACACCACCTGCCCTGCAAAAAGACAGTTGTAAAATGGCTGCGTTAAACAAGGCTATCTCTGAACGCCGCTTCAAGCAAGCTCGTGGATTCATTACCTCCGGTGTGAACGTCAATTCTAAGTGTGAAAAAGGAAACACTGCTTTAATCCAACTGTGTTTTCTTGATAAAGATTCTCTGGCGATTTCTATCGCTACTAGTTTGTTAAAACGGGGAGCGAAAATCGACGCGACGAATACCAATGGCCTTTCAGCTCTGTCCACGGCTGTACTAAGCCACAAGGAAAACATTGTCGCGTTGTTTTTGGAAGAGGCGGGAAATTTTGATATCAATTCCAAAGACAAAAAAGGTAAAACAGCGCTGTTTCATGCCGCAAGCATTGGTAATATTAACATCTTAAAATTGCTCATCAATGCATTGAGAAAATATCAATTAAGTGTTGATGTGGCAGATAACCTTGGAATGACTCCACTCATGCAAGCCTGTATCAATGGAAATGTGGATTGTGCTAATTATTTAATAAAGGAGGGCAACGCATCCGTTAATATCAGAGATAAAAAATACAGGAGAACAGCTTTAGAATGGGCAAAAGTAAAAGGAATCTTAGGGAGAGTTTTGCTAGTTCATAATGAAGTGAATGTGAATGATCAAGAAAACGGGATGAAGGAAAAGCAAAGAAAAGATGAAAAATGGGAAAAGGAAATTACACAGGAAAACACAGGAGGATCGTACAGAGTCCAATTCAGGCGCATTTTTCAAGCTTATGAATGCCAACTCACTGCTTCGTTTAAGCCAGGGAAACATCCGAAGCCAAAAGTGCTTCAACCTACAGCAGACGAGGGGAGCAGTGTGAAAACTTTTGTCAGAAGTCGTCAATTTTTTAAAGGCAAAAGTACATATAGACTCCTTAATCGCATGTCTTTGGAGAAGACCCTGATTCGAAGGTCTTCCCATCGAATGTTTCAACGTTCTCATTCGGTCACTGACCTTACAGGAAACGACTTAAAAACTTCGGTAAAACTCGTTAATTCACCGACTTCGCAAAGGAGCCACTCAGCTCGTTTCAGGAGAGCACGTCAAGTTTCGGAAGGACAGACTGCTTTACGGACATCACCTGCAAGCTCGACGTCAGTTTTCATTGAAACGAGTGAATAAAACCATTGTAAAACGGAAAATTATTATTATTTATCTTTAGTCATCATAGATTACCAAGCAATAATATATAATATTTTCATTCAAATTCCCTGAACTGATGAATAAAAAGTAGGCGAATAAGGGAATAAAACAATCAGCAGTAAATATCCACAAAGTAACCTGCGATAACATTTTTTATCCATCTTTGTACATCTATTTTGTCATAATACAAAGAGAACAAGCGGCAAATAAACTCGAAACTAGATACTGGCATTTGCCTTGGCATCTTTCACAATTCAATACATTATACTACTTCATCCGGCCCTGTTGCAACATTGTACAGAAATAATCCTGGTAATCATCATCATTATCAGCATCACCATTAACATCATCATCATCATCATCATCATCATACAGATAATGATGAGGATCATCATGACGGAGTTATGTCCAGAAATACATGGAAATAAGATTCATACTCGTTATGATGGACATCATGTAGTGTCCCAGCTCTAATCCTCACTAAAATGTACGCCGTTTTGTCAAACATACTGTAAGTTAAAGTCACAATGGATACTCAAATAATTTAAATTATTGTTCATTGTTCTCATTATCTATCTTCTCATTGGCCAACAGCTTACAGTTAATTTTGGAAATCAACGCAACCTACAGATTAACTATCAGCCTCGGCCTTCGGCTCAGCTGATAACACTTGTCACCTCATCCTCATCCCGTTATTATATGTGATATGAAAATAATAATCAAGTGTAGTGAGGATGATGAATTCACAATGATCCAAGAGTTCCAAAAATTGCACTGACAGAATTATGAAAGCAAACTGGAACATTATAAGGCATGGGATGAGATTGGTAGGCAGTAAAAATAAAAGAAAATTATTTTTAAATGACAATGCATCAACATCATTCTAGCTTTGTCTAAATGCAAAAGCCTTTCTCTACCTTGAAAATAGACAAGTTCTATTGATACGTGCACAAGACTCAGTTAAATATGTTTATTTGATTCCAAGCCACTTTTTTCTACTTTTATTAAATATAGATTCCATGAAAATCTTCATGTTATTATTGAGTTCATTAATGAACACTATATAAATGTTGTTGTTCAATTTGATCCTTGGCTTTACATGTAAATTCATTTTCCTTTCTTTCAAACTTACTATCATACATTACAGAAAAGAAAAATAAAATTTTATCAAAAGACAGAATAGAACAACAACATAAATGAGCATGTCCCCTGTGACAATAGACTCTTTATAGCCTTCTAGTTTTTGTGAAGTTCAGGGTTCCAGCAAATAAGTTATATCCAAATCTACAATTTTCTTTCTGCCCTAACTAACCAAGTCACTAAGAGGCAATGACCTGACAACATTGCTATATTCTATTCAACATTTATCATATTCTGACATTACGGCTGCAACAATATTTTCCATTTTTGTCGATGATATAGCCAATATTTTGATCAGAGAGTTGTAAATACGAAAATTAACATTACATCACATGTACCTTTAATGGCGGGATCCAGAAATTGGACGATTCCTTGTGTTGCTTTTAAACAAAACAGAAACTGACCTTTTAAGATATATAATTATCATGATATCATACTTAAGTTTAAGTAAAAGTTCTGTACAGGTTTCAGTTTTCTCCTCGTCATGCATTACCACAGTTCTCAAAAAAGTACACGAAACTTTAATGTCCAGGACAAAATTTAAAAAGACACTCAAACAATGTAGTTCCAGCTACATCTACGCAGTAAATACCTGTTCCATTCTTCTTTTGGTCATTAATTTAAAGTTCCTTACAAACGGGTGTCAAAAAATGAATTAAAACAGAAGAGATCTGACCATATTGATTTTCTGATCTAATATTATTATTTACCTGAAAGGATTTAAATAACATTGTCCATTTGTGTTAATCAAGGAATTTGTTCCTCTAATTTATGCCAACCTTCTCCAGTTTTTTAAATCAAAGCTATCAGGAAAAACCTTCACAGTCAATTCTGACAGAGTTACCTTACCATTATGAAGTTTCAGTGTTTACAGTGTAGCTTAACATTCAGTCCATTAGAAGAGTTTCAGAATACAGTTAAAAGTGCAAATATTCCATACACCAAAGCACAAGGATAGGCTACAAGAGGTTGCTGGTGATCCATGGCTAATGCTGTCACAAAAAACTTTGATGATGCCACACTACACCAACCAATAACAACAGTGGTAAGAATTGATCCAAGCATTCCTTGAAGTGACATGAACAACGAGACACCAGACAGTGCTACCATGGGAAGCAGACAGTAACCCAGGACACTAATAACACATCCCACAGACACCCCAGTCATACTCATTAAATTAAGAACAACGTACATAGCCATACATCCCAAGGCGCTAAAACCATAAATGTAACCAAAATGAACTTTTCCATGCAGAAGAAGAAATCCTCCGAACGCCAAACAAAATATAAGTGGTCCTGTTAAATCAGTGTCATCCATGATATGGGAATCAGTCATTTTGAGCGGATTTAAAACCGAAAGAGTTTTTTCCCAGATGTGATCGAAGTTGATGCCAAGTTCTTCAAGGAGGGGAGGTTCATCATCGAAATCGGTGACATGAGCTTCGTCAATTTGGCGTACTCCTTGACTCATACTACCCATGTAAGGAGAATAAGGCTGAGGTGCTGCCGGACCGTTAGCTGGATATTCGTAACTGTTATATCCACCTGTGTAACCGCCGTAATTGTGAAATTGTTGACCATAGTTTTCTTGGGGCACTGCCGCGTTTTGATCAAAATTTGAGGCATAAAAACCATCCTGATAATAAGAACTGTCACCTTGATAAAACGGATCTTGGTAATTGGACATCGCTTAACTGAAATTAACACTCAAATACGAAAATTCAGGTACGATATAGTCGATTGTCGATTTCACCAAGGACACGTTGCCGCAATACTGCGCATGTCTTTCACGGGACTAACATCGCGGGCGCAAAATGGCGCAAAATGGCGCGCTGAGAAAGCAAAACCTTCTTGGTCATGACTTTTACTGTTTGTTCACCTCAGACAATGCCGAAATATGATTATAATACTGTGGAAGACAACAATTTACAAACTTCTGTACAACTCAAGAGTGGTCGTTGTTTGAAGTTAAGTGATAAAATATGCCGAATATGCCAAATTTTCTATCGATCTCTTTAACCATTAATAAAAACAGTGTGCAAATCATGTTACCTGTTGTGTTTGCTGTCTTCTTGCTGAGATTCAAGGCCATAACAGTGGATAAAGATTGTCTGACCTGGCATTGTAGAGATAATAGGGTCAAAAACGTACACTACTGAGCGATCAACCGTGCTTGAACCCCTACATTCTTGCAACGAGGAACGTACTTACATTTTGCCTCTTCGAGTTGAAATCACAAAATAATATGTTTAAATCCTCATTAACCGATCCAAGCGGGCACACTTTACCTCTTAATAACGTCAGACACCATCGAAGAGGAAAGTTTTGCTCGAAACTGAGCACAAAATTTAAATACTCGTACTCGCGCTCTGCTCGAGGTCTACGGTCAGCGGTAGGGCTCATATGAACAAAATTTCCTGCGATCCTGCAGCGAGTAGTTTGTCTGAAATTAACTCAAACCTTTAACTTAGCTATTAGCTTATCTATTTTCTTATCAAAATAGTTTTCTCCACTCCTCATGAGGATCCCGTTAAATGTCTCAAATAGCTTAGGAAGATAGCCCGGGAGCAGGTTCTCCCGAGGGAACGGGGCTAAGGGAGGAAAGAGGGGGAAGGAGACCCCAATATCGTTCCTCCACTACAGTGCCCCAAAAGCAAGCTTTTTAAAAGACTGAAGATGAAGTTAAAATACTGAGAGTCCGGGCTCCAGTAGCCTCCGAACAGTAGACGGATTTCCGGTCGTCGCTTCTCTCCCTCCGAAAAATAGTTACTTTTTGGAGGGAGAGAAGCGACGACCGGAAATGCGTCTGTTGTTCGCAGGCTAGGGCTCCAGTGGCCTGTGCACAGACGCCCCCTTCCGCACCCCCCCCCCCCCCAAAAAAAAAATGGTTAGGGGAGAGGGCGTCTGTGCACAGGCTGGGGCTCCAGAAGAATGAGATGGTTCAGACAAAAGGCGTTAGTTAGGCATGTAATTCCTTAAAAGATGTCTACTCTCAGTGAGGCCAGGGTTGGGCCAACGCTCTACCGTACCGTCCCTCTTTCCCCGCCCCTTCTTGCAGCAAAAAGTAACAGCTGGAAAATGTCACTGTTAAAGCTCTTGAAAAGAAATTATTTGCTTCTGGTAAAGTTAACCATTCCCAATAATAATTAACAGTGTTTTATTGATTTATTTTTCAACATTGGCCCCTCAGAGGTTTGTTTTCCTAACATAAGTTTAATTTGCTGGACCACATTCTATGTCCAACATTGCAACCGTCTACTCTACTTTATCAAAAGACTGTGCTCTCAAATATTTCATGCATTATTACCTGGAAATGAGAAGAGAAAGACTGAAATATTCTGTCTTATTGTTCCGGAAATGATAAATATATCAAAATGTTACACATTATTGGACTATTAAAACCTGGCAAGATATTGATTTTAAGAATTTAAGTGAATAATAAAGTCCTTGGAAGAATTTATTTTAAATAACTTAATTCTTTCTCAGCAGCATTGGTGATCAAATGTTTTCCTGGAAAAAATACTTGGCTAAGGCGCATGACCAAAGTACAGCACATCCCGCCGCATTCTTCCCGTTAAGCCAAGTGATTAGGGGCGTGCTGAATCCATGGAGAATCATGGATTTCCATCGGGTATCAGGCTTAATATCTGATATCTTTCTTCGTCATTAACAATCGACTGCTTAAGACTACACTGCTATTTAAAACTGTCATCTGATTCAGTTTTAATTTTACATGACACACACGAAAGCCACGCATTTTCCCATCGCGCGTCTCGTGTCTGACGCTCCTCGCTCGCTTTGCGCTTGCCTTCGCTCACTTAAAAAACGCGAACAAATAACGCCTGTTTTGCGGGCTAGTTAGGTCCACCGCAGCGATATAACAGGTCAGCTGTCATCGTCCTCCAAGTTCCTTATTCCTTGGCCAGAGCGAAGCGGCATTATTCATCACAAGTTGAAGAACTATTTATGTTTTCATTGATCTCTGTTACACCATGTGCTTTGCAATGGGAAATCCCAGTACCTTCACAGCTATAATTCTAATGATTTCCTTGTGCAGATCTTCATAGGGAAGAAGTTAATTGTTTTTGTCTCTATACTTAGCTCTCAAATGAACACTGGGAGGGAATTCTTCTTGCTTCACATTTTTGTTTTCAGTGTAGAACTTTTTCTTCACGGATATTTTGCTACGCGCCAAGAGAGATCAGTTTCTTCTTCAGTTCCGCGGCTTTATCTCGTATATTTGGTTCCTTATCACTGTAGACATATTTAAGGCTGTCCAGCATATGCTCCATCTGTTCTTCAGTCAGTAACGATAAGCGAATGTGCCCTGGAGCAAAATCACGTCAGCAAGTAAGTACTTTTTACTTGGAACTAGGAGTTACAACAAAGTTAATTACGCATGTGTTACTGAAAATGGGTTTCATGTTATTAATGACGACTGGCAGAGATAGGCATTTTGGAAAAAAGCCGACTACGATGACTCTCTGTTTTCCGTTAGTTTTCGCCAGTCTTGGATGATATCCTAATTAAAGAAAAAAATCTACAGAACAAAACTATTCAAAAACTTAATGAAACTATCCATCCTAAGGGCAGAGAATAAAAAAAATAGTAAAGTCAGCTTTTATAGAGTTGTAATAAGAAGAATGCTTCCAAACTGTTTGCACATTAAAAACCCGTTGAGACGTTCATAAGGCAAACAAACAAGCAGGCTTTTACCTTTAAGGGCCGAGTGTACCGCGTCCAATACATCAACAGCTCCAAGGCGTACTACAGCATACTTTTTAACTTCTATATAAGGAGGAAAGCAAACCAAAAAAAACATAAAATTTCGAGGCAACACATCAGTTAAACAAAATTCGCTTGTGTATCATTTCCAAGCAGAACAACAAGAAGTTTGAGTGGAAGAACATGATATTCCACAGAAGACAATATAGACGGTTAAAGAGAACGTTTAAACGTTGTATCGTCGCGAACGATGTAACAAACCTAAACATTCACAGACGGGTGTTATGAACTGTTCAAGAAGATTTCTCAGCATTGATATCCTGTCAATACTCTCCTCTCCTCCTCCGTCCGGAGTTCCATAAGTCCAGTCCATTCTGATGAGCAGAAAAATAAGTGAGGGAAAATCATCATATCCAACCTGAGCAATGAACGACAAACAAGCCTTTAAAAATAACAAACAAAAATAAAAACTAACCTCTCAATAAACAACTTAATGGCCGCCAACAAAACGACTTGTACTTTCCAAGTGTTTGAAGTGAGAGCAGTTGTGAGTATTGAGCAGAAACGTTCTCCATATTTATCTGTGAGAAAAAAATGGTACAAAAAAAGAGGGAAAATTGGAGCACTTGAAGTCACGGTAATGAGAGGCATTTAGACAAATATTCTATTGATATACAAACAAATGTACTCTACTCTTAATTTATCATTATTATTTTCACATTTCACGGTTATCTGATACAATGGTATTTACTTTAAGGGGAGTAGGAAGCGCGAGAAGTGCGGATTTGATATTTTAGCTTCGCTCAAAAAATGCTATCCTGTGCGAAGGCGTGTGTGTGATATGACGTTTCCCATCAAATAGTCTCAAAAAGCTTTCTCATTCATGTAAAGTTGTTTTATTTTCTATGCCAGAAGCAATCACTAATATCTGGCTATCCTGCACGTCAGGCGTTCCAAACGGAAGGGCAAGGGAGAAGAGAGGACGGGAACGCGGGCAGCGTTCCTCACTTCCCCCTCCTGGCGCTCTCGCTCGTGCGCACCTGGATCCACCCTTCCTCTTTTAACGCCTGTTACGCAGGGTGTCTGCCACGCAGGGTAATATCCGGCACAATACCATTTTTTCGCCTTTCGTAGAATAAAATTATTAAGGACCAGTTGTTAAAGTACTAAGAGGAAATCAACTTGAGTAATGATGTCCTTTGCTTATGAAGACCTTTCATATTGATTAACGGTATCAACTATACATCAAAGTATTTCATGTACAACCTCTAGGAGGTTGACCGCAGTTTTATGATTTCCAAAGCTGGGGGAAATTACCCCAACAAAACATTCTTTCGCAGCTCGCAGAATTTACAACAATTTTTTCATAAATTACCTTGTGACTCTGTTGCATTTTTTGGCCATGACCGTCCAAGACATTCAAATGCACAAACTAAAAATTCTTGATTGACCTTTTTATCCTTTTCTTCCTCCTCCTCCTCAATTTCGTCTTCATCTTCTCCTTCCTCTTTTGGTTCCTGATGATTAAACAATGTACATCAAAGACGCTTTGAGTGTGCAGCAGATACACACGTATAAACTTTTGCTAGGGCAGTAACGTTCCAGATAGTACATGATATGTACTTCTTAAAATACCGTAAAATTCCGAAAATAGGCCCCGGGGCTTGTATTTTTCAAAGGCCCTTTGAAGGGCTTATTTTTGGAGGGGCTTATCTACGGAGGGAAGTTTGCGTTTAAAGCTTTAAAGATAGAACTTACTGAACTATAGAATGTAATATTTTGGGTGTTCTTGTTAAATACAAATTTCTCACGCAAACTCTCTCTATTTCAGAAAAAAATGCACATTATTTACAATCAAATTCAAAGGCGAGTGGATCATAAAAAAGAGTTCAGCTCGAGGTTGAGAAAAATAAATGGTACGAGGTACCAGCATCTCGAGGGACAACGCAACTTAAGGTGATGTTACACGGGACGATTCGCAACGACGATTCTTAGCGCAACACCGCGTTACAACGCTGAGAAAATGTTGTAACCAATCGAAACAATGTCGCAACAATGTTGCACCGCTGTGTTGCGCTAAAAATCGCCGATGCGAATCGTCTCGTTCAACATCACCTTTAAACAATGAAGATACGTTGCTCCGGAGAAAATAGCACATGCAAAGGTTTAATTTGGCACGCAGAATGTTAATTGAAGGAAACAAGAAACTCACCGGGGCAATGATAGGAAAGAGGAGCTCCGATAGTTGCTGAAATCTGTCAATAGAATACTCCTGAACGATTTCTCCAAAGCATTTTAATGCAGCCATTTTGTATGTGGGGTTTTCTTTCCTGCATTCCTTGTATATCGAGTCCAATACCTGAAGAAAGGAGACAAATTCACCATTCCTCTCTTGTTGACATCTAATTATCCTATTTACTTATCCACCATGTAAAAGAAAATAGAAAAAAAGGCCGTTGAACGAAAGTGCACCTTTCGGTCCTTCATTAAAGAAAACGAGAATGCGTGGTAACTAACGAGATGCCGATCAAGTTTGTCGCACAGAGCGGCTTCTCTTCAGCAAGGTATACAAACAGGGGTCAGTAACTTCATGCTTTGGAGTTACCCTACGATGAAAAAGCATTTTATCCAAGAGAGATATGGTAGCAATATTTAGTTTGCGGTACCAAGCAGGTTCAACTCTCAATGTGTAGGCCACATTTGACATGCACCACTCTGAACCTAACCATGATTTAATGAAGACGAAGGTATGAAGGAATGGTAAGGGAAGAGGTATATTTCTTAGTCAGCGTTATCGAGTTACTGATGAAGTACTCAGATCTACAAAGGATAAATCAGACATTTCCAAAAGGGGCAATTAGTCTTATTATAAACAACCGTGTCATATTGAGCAATTTATATCCTTTGATTACGCTATCGACCTTTCTGTCTTTTGACTTACTTTTGAAATATCAGGATCCACTTTAGGTGAGGACTCCTCCATGGGTTTCCTAACAAAATAAACGCTTGTTAAACACTCTGAACCGTATCATAACGCTTAAGCAATCTGAATAGGCATCTTACTTCTCCCCGTCTGTCTGTGCATGTTTCATTAGAAATGAGGTGGGAATAATAGCGACCATTTAGGTATGATGTTAGGTTTGTGCTTCTGTGCCTTAAGCTACAATAAGTGGCTTTAATGTCTTAGGATATGGATGAGCTCCTCCGGGATGACAATGGCAAATTAACGCTAGTTGAAACATATTGTAATACCCAACATACCTGCATTTTATACAAACACAAGAAACTGCAGATAATAAGGACTCCTGAAAAAGAGACAATAATTTCACGACTTGTCAAGAGTGAAAAGGAGTTATGGTTATGGACAAGAAAAGAAAAGAAAGAGTCGGAAAGAGTGTTAATAAAAGCCCATACTTTTCCAGTCCAAGTCCTGCCAGCCAATCCGCTGACCAAAGCACCAAGCAACTGACCAAGGTAAGGTTGGGAAAGAGAGTTTCCTGAGTACAGAGAGAAAAGAGTGTTAACATAGAAAAACAAAAAAGCAAACAAAATGAACGATAGAATGAATAAGCAACATCCCTGATGTCTCAAAACTCATGAGGTAAGATGAAAACATTGAGTCTGTAGGCGAAATTTCCCTTCAAGAATTTCTTCCAGAGAGAGTTTTCGAAAACTTTCATCCACCAAAAAAGGCATTTAATGTTAGTCTTAGCATGGCTTTAACCCAAAAAAGCAGCTCTTTTAAATTAACAATCTTACCAAGCTTCAGCGCTATGGCCGATATTGTCACAGCAGCCTGGGCCTTAGTTGTCCATGACTGTGATGTCAGCGCAGAACACGTGATCGAGACTATTTCATCTGAGTAAAGTCTTATGCCTGCCTCGGTACCTGAAACGATATGCACGTGATCAAACTACACACACATGATCATGGCAACGCATGTAGATACAGGCAGAGTGGTCAGCGTGCAAGACCTGCAGTGAGCCAGACCCACCCCACCCAGGTAAGGTTGCTCTGAACACTCTCTGGAGTTGCTTGTTACAAGGCCCATCTTCCCGCCGATCACGTAGCGAATCCTTCATCATTGTGTGCCACTTGATATACTTGTTTCTAAGGGAGCAACTCAGTCAGTATACAATTGTATTCGCATCTGAGCCGTTTAATCGTCCTAAGACAATAGAAAATAATAACATATCCTTATTACCTGGTGTATTTTCCAGCCAAATTTCTTCCCATAGTGACTCATTAGAAGATGTGCTGTTGTTTCCTGTAAACATAACCACACCTTACACCAGTCTACACTGAAATTTCATGAAGTTAATACTACGCACTTTCTGCTTTTGTTCCACCACCCTACTCTTTCTTGTTGGGGCAAAACTCTCTTGACAAGTTCAATTCACCAATAAGATGTAAAACCTATTTATTATGGGTTGCAAGAACAAAGTTTCCTTGCTTTGAGTCTGTTAAATGTATCTGCTTTCATTTTTTAAATGAAAAATATCTTTTTGTATCTTTGATTGAGAGTTCGTGCAGCACTTCCCAGTTAAATTAATTCGTTAAATTAATTCGTTAAATTAATGACGAAAAGATTGCGTTCTTACTCGAGTCAATCTCTCATACAAGCAGAAGTAGCCCGAGGAAGAAATTTAAGACAGCAGCTGATCCAAATGTTACAATACGTGGTGCTAGCCAGCCTTTGTTAACATGATTTATCATTGACAATGACTAGCCAATGTTACCTCCATCTGTCGATTCCTTCATTCCGTGCATAGCAAAGAAAACCGCTGGCAAAGCTTTAGCTGCGTGACGCTTCATTACATCCGGGGAATATCGCGACACGGCCTGTAGGGTAAGACCGCAGGCTAAGCGCAGGCCTTTGTCTGAAAGAAAATTCAGTCGTGTATTAGAGCATTAGATAGGCGAGATGAAACAATTTCTTCACATCAGGCAGTAAATGTTACCTTCTTTTTCAAAGTACCAGTTCTTTATTTTATCAATAGCTTTCTCTACGCTACTGTCCTTTGCGACCTGAAAAGCGATCAATCATCAATTAGTCATATGTATGGTGCTAGATTCACAGTAGTTATAAAATTCATGTAAGGAATGAGGTTGAATGAAACAAGTTTGAACGTGTTTGTTTCTTATGTGAACACAGTATGACGTTACCTTGACCAAATGTCCAATAGCAGTGGCGTAGGATTTCCTTACAGAAGCGCTACGGTCACTTAATCCTGACAGCAATGCATTTAGAAGCTTTCCTGTTGGTTAAAAAACGAGGAAAAATATTATTGTATTAATATACTCATTCATGGAAAATGGCCAAATGGTTAGCGAGTTCAGCATCAGAACTAGGATAGAGTTATACCATATCTTGCGGCGGTTATAACTTAGATGGGGAGAAACGCGAAAAAGAATAATTCAGTCATATATTTAAGCTCAACAAATGTACTTTTCGTACCAACTTTGTTCGTTCACATTCATTAGTAACAGTGTATTCGTTCCAACTGGACAGACCATAATAAGGTTCAGAAACTGCTCGTAATAGGAGTCTTACCAGCAAAGGGCGTCAAATCTTGAGAACACTGCATAGTCAGGGAAACAACAAAACCAGCACTCCCTGCCTAAAGAACATTAGAATCGCGTTACTCATTTCTTTTAATTTCTCATCTCAGCAATTCACTGTCACAAAAACTGACGAAATGAAGTTACCTTTGTTCCCAGTCCTATGCCGGTTCGCAACAGATCGGAAAGTCTGGGAACGAGTTCTGGCAGGACTGTACTGTCAACATATTGAACACACTAAAACAGAACAGATAAGTATCAAAACGAGTTTCAAACCGCTCATATAAAACTGACATTTAATAATAATGTTAATATTCACCATATTGATGGTTTCCATCATGGGAGACATTTTGGAAGCAGCAATTCTAACACCTTCAAGCTAAGAACCGAAAAAAAAGAAAATGGCATTGGCATTTTGAAAAAAGTAGCGAGGTAAACCCAACAGAAATAATAAGAACATAACACGAAACAAAAAGCCTACCTTCTCTTGAACTTCCTCACTTTTATGTAACTGAAGACTTAAATAGTTCATTGACTGTTGAAAAAAAGATCAGAAATACAGCGTTTGTACCTTGCGTTAAATAAAAAATGTTTCTGGAAAAAAAGTTTAACAATTTCTCTTCAGCGTTTGCAATAAACTGTCATTAGTATGTCATTAATTCTTTGTCTTCTATGCGTAACATATTCATCCCTCCTAGTCTGCCTGGTAGCGCTTAGCGATCACAAATGAAAACTGAAACACGCTCAAACCTGATTTTCCAAGCCACTCAGAGATTCTAAAAGAGCTATCACCAACAACGGTATATGAGGCTTTAGCAATGCACCCTGAGAAAAAAATCACAGCGCTGCTAAGTAAAGCGCCAGTACGATAAATAACGACACAAATAATTAGCAACACTATACCTTCTTGAAGGAACAAAAAAAAATCAAAAACAACAACATACCGCGTTTTTGCTGATCTTCACTATTGTAGATAAGCTGTCGATAACGAAAAAATATTTAATTTGTTAGATGATTGTCTTCTAACGTTTCCTTCTGCAACTTTAAAGGTGCTCAAACGGATCCACTATCGTCCAATTTTGTTGATTGGTAAGTGTTGTTGCGTATGAAGAGTTCAGAAGAATCCAAAGCAGTCCAACACTCGGCCATGTGGCTGCACAAGTATTAACACGAGGAATACATTGCTTCCCGAGCACAACATATGCATGGCAACATGATACGTCAAACAATAGATCCTACCAATCAGGCAGAGTGATAAGGGCGTGGGCCATTTTTCCATCTTCGGGAAGATCAATCTTATTTTAATTACAAGATCAACACAATAAGCCTAGCCTTACCATAGAAGTGTATTGCCTTGCATGTTAAAATGAGAATACACCGAGATTAATATATGAGATCAAAAGAAACATTCCTCTAACGTTCATCTGTTTCTGGTCTAGCCTCCCCGCAGACGTCCTTTGGGGTTCGTTCGTCACGCATTCATTTCTTTCCCCACAGAGAGAAATGAAGGCGTGACGAACGAACCCAAAGGACGTCTGCGGGGAGGCTATTTCTGGTCCCAAAACGGTTAGATAGGCCTCTCCTATACCATTTCATATTTCATGATGGATCATTTTGTGCATTTTGTGTGTTTGAAGTACGTTGGTGCCTCAAAAATGGTAGTTATTTCAACGAGAGTACAAGCTAAGGTAAGGTGAAAGGTGAACTGATTTAAAAGAACTTAAGCGGTTAAATGAAAATTTTCTAACTCATACCTGATAGCTCTAACTTCCTCGGCTTTACTTCCAACTCCTTTGTGTAGTAACGTTGGTAGAACTAAAGCGATCGCCTTTTCACCTAATTTGCCCTGATTCACATCACAAACACGAATGGAAACCTAGGCAGACAACATACCGTGGTTTAAAACGCCGCTGTTTAAAGATCTAGCAAAATGAAAGCACTCTATGCTGTGTTCCAAAACTATGGGGACAAAGCCAAAAGGCGTCTCATACACCAGGCATTAAAAAAGTGTCGCCCATACCTTACTTAATGTCCTACAAGCCACTTCAGCTGCTTGTCTTACAGTTTCCTGAAATAAATATTATAGTACGTTCAAAAAAGGTTTGGAAAACATAAAATGTTAAAAAAAATTAGCAAGATACAATCATGTCTTCGCAACAACAAACGTTAACAAACCTTTATGTCATCACGAGTTCTGAAACACAGTTCCCAAAGTCTGGGGATTGATTCAAGCATGTCATCTACGGATCGACCGCTGAGAAGATCGCTCAGAGCCATGCAACTATGAAGAGGAAGGCAGTGAAAGATAGGACTGAGTCAGCAATTGAAGCAAAAAAATCAATCTCTTCCCCAGGGCTTTTCCCAGTTAGAAAACAAGAGGGGCGCTGGGGACGAGAATGCAGAAGAATTTGGCCCTTCACTTACAGACGAACCTTCATTTTTACCTGGACTGGCGCACTCGCCATAGGTTGCTTTCTAAACTGGTCATCAAGTCTTGAAGTATTTCATTCACATATTTATCAACCTAAAAAGTATAAGGATAAAAGAACAAGTTCCGAACGCAATGACATGTGAAAGACAAACACTACGTAGGCAAGCATCTGTGCAAAAAAGTTACCCGATATGTTTAAACATAAAAGAATGAAATATCTTGAGCGATTTTGAGCTGTTTTACATCAGTGTTTACAACCGCGTATGTTGTTCATTCTACTGCGAAGATCATGTTCACTTTCATATCTTTATCCGTAGTTCAAAATATGATTCCAACATTTCATATATTAATTTTCAATTCAGTGATATGTGGTTGAAGACCTTTGGGTTGCAAAAAGTCCTACAGATGACATCAAATGATCTTGGGAGTCATCTCGTATTTTTTTTTTATGAACCGCTTTAGTAGCTTTGAGGTACATGTGTCAGTACTAGTTCCTCTTAACAAAGTTTTATCTAAAAACACACCGTTTTCTTTGTCTCTGGCACAAGGGCCGCCCAGATGCTGGCCATAGCTTGCTGTATCTTCACATTAGGATCGTATTGATACCTGGTAATCCAACAGTACGAATGTCGTTAGACATTTTGCAATTGGCTGGTTTTGAATTGCCTCCCACCATTCCAACCGCCACTCTACAGGGAAAATGGTTACAAGCTTTCGCCGCAAAGATTTCTGATCATTCGGGAGGCCAATATACTTGAGAAGTCTTTTAGTAAATATTGACTCATTAGTTAACTGACATCATCGCAATACTTCATTTCATAAAGGTGTGGAAGTGGTGTGTGTCGAAGCGTTAACGAACTGTCGTCCTTTACTGATTTGATGTTTGATCATTACAAGACTGGGCTGGTTTTTAATAATTTACCTGAATAGCTTTGGAATGATTTTGGGAAGGTAGGGTTCCAGCTGCTCTCTGGAGTGAGCTGCTATAGATGAGAATCCAAAAGCTGCACCCTAAAACAAAGGAGACCAAGAAATAAAACAGTTCAAACAAAAAGCGCTGCTTATTGCAGTTACCCAGCCATACTACAATCGAACCTCCATCTGCGACCGACCTCTCGCAAGCAACCACATCCCATAAGCGACCACTAAATCTTTGTATTTTGGATGGTCGCTTACGGAAGGCTCGACTTTACTTAAACCCGAATCCTGTGCCAAAAAGTACGACTGTTGTCTACAGCACCACTAATGTAAAGAAAAGACTGTCATTAGAATGTGGCAGATACCTTACGGGAGTTCCAAAGAGCATTGTGATTTGCCAGATGCATAAACTTGTAAACCAGATCTGGTTGGTTAAGATCACTAGCAATAGAACACAGCTCCTTGTACGTTGATAGTCCACCCCTACGACATTCAGCAAAATGAAAAAACAAACGGCGATGACGTAAGGATGAAAACAGAATGATTTTTGTAAAATTAAATTAAATTTTTTCTGCATTTAATAAACTGTTTACCTAAATGACCAAAAGGCTAACGATAAAAGAAAAGAATTTGGAGACATCTGACTGTAATACATGCACCTACCGCTCAAAAGCTCCTTCTTCAAAGATCTTGGTCTCACCAGTAACAGGCTGGTTACGTCTGAAAAAAAAATGGTGAAAGACTTATGATATTTATTGGCTCAAATTACTTTATTAAAGCCACAAACTAGCAGCAAATGTCAAATGGAATGTCCACCACAAAACCTTTAAGTAAACCAAGCAAATAGGAGCAAAAAAGGTTTAGATAAAAAACTTCCTTCACAAAGTCAGAAATCAATGGCTTTTCCGACTGTCAAAGTCAAGGATTTGATCCATGCATTGAAACGTTAGCCCCAACAGTCGTTTGATTTCCAAGAATAACAAACATTGGCAGAAGAATAAACTGTTCAGAATCGGTACTTAAGAAGTACTTTCCGCTCAACGTTCGGTTAATTTACCTTCTGCCAGTTGCCAGTGTATCGACCAATAATGACACAAGTTCTTGCTTATTTTCCTCTCCACCGTGTTCATATACAAGACCAAGGCCTTTAGAAGCAACTTCTTGGGTAAGATCTGGATTACACAAAAACAAATATTTGTCTACTGAAACACCTAATCTTTATACTCCCTTTCCTAAGTTAACAACCGACTTAATATCATGAAACAGGGAAGGTATAAAATTCTTTGTTGATTATGCAGCGTGCAAAGAAAGTAGTGTCCGATAGCATGGGGCTAGTGGATTTTGCTATCGGGCTAGTGAATTCTGTTTTTAACTGGCCCGACAGGCAAGTGAAGTTTTTTGAGGAATTCAAATTACAGAAGTACCGTGAAATCAATCTGCTCATCAAAACGTTTTTGGGGCTAGTTGAAATGATGTTTTAAATGTTAGCTTCAGCTTGCCCAAATGGTAAGCTGTAAAAATAACTTTCTTTGCACCCTGTTATGGTACAAAACTATACCGAATGTCCCAAGATAGTGAGAAACTTATAATATTTACAATTTCTCCCTGTACCCAGTTGGTGATACCTGCCAGGGAGGGGAGGGATAGACCACGTGGTACATGGAGTATATGGGAACCTAGAGAGTGGACAACGTAAACGATTCTGTGTACTGAAAGACACAGTCTCTAGATCTGAGCAAAAACCACAAACTTCAAACCAACTGCTAACAGAACCCTCTCCGTCTATGCTGATAAAAAAGAAGCAAACGTTGGGAAGAACGCCATCATGACTAGTTAGTTTTCTAGCATTGAACAGAGGTACAGATCTAAAGAGTCCTAGTGCTCTTAAACAGAAAATTTATTTAGCTCGTACCATCTGTTTCCGACAACATGTTCATGAAGACCATCTGAATTTCTTTGAGGTTTGCCTAAAGAAAAAGTTGTCAAACTGTCAAATAAGTTCCTATTCATCGACGGTGAGAACTGTTAAAAACTGACAAGGTTTCAAGTTTCTTTAACATTACAAGGCGAGCTAAACTTCAACGTTTGTGGAGAAAAGGAAACTTATTCCCAAGCAACAAAGTGACTTCAAGCCCCTGCGATCAATTTCATTGCCAAAAAAATACTCTTGTCCAAAAAATTTGGTTTTGCGTTGAAATTGACTGGAGCTTATAAGCTGAATAATCCTCTCTCCCGCAGGCTAAAACATTAGACGAAAGTGTCAGGTATCCTAAAAGATTAAACTTAAATTTTAGCAATTGATTCTCCTTGTATTTTTATGGAACCGTTTTCTTTCAACTGTATTAAATTAGACGGTCATAAGAGTGTATTTGATATATTAATGAATAACAAAGCAACAAATTTGACTAAACCTGAACAACATTGTGATTTCCAGAGTACTTTACGAGAGACAACAACCAGATGCATGAAGCCTTTTGAGAAAAGAAAGAAATACATAAGACACCACGAACAAAAAATACCATAGAGCACAATTCACTCAAAGATTTCGTTCTGTTGTATGGTAGCACTTGTTTTTAAGAAACGAAATTTCGAATTTTTTGGCGGGTTTGACTTTGGCCACAATAAAGAATGAAACAACAAAAAGAACAATCAATTTACACAAAGACGATTTTACTAACCTGCCTAACATATGGGGCTGTGCTAGTGGCATACTTCTTGATAATCATGTCAATCAATTCTTGCATGGTTCCTTTCACCTCTTCACAATCACTGTTTTGAAGTTGTTCCACTGCCCACGGATCACGTGCAACTTCCGATGCTCGACCTGCTCCTGCACATGATAAGGCCTCCCCAACTGTGAACTGAAGCTCAACTTGACGAATCTGAGGACAGCCACATAACAAAAGTATCCGGTTTAAAAAGCACAAAAAATGATTAGGTATCATGTCTGGTTGATAACAATATTGAAACGCAACTGTAACTAAGGATGGCAAGAGCTACAACCCGTAGACAAACACCAATAACAACATTAATACATATATCGTTTTCCTTTGGATTTCCTTGGTTTCCAAAAGGCTGGAAAGACATGAAACAAAAGTAGGTCGTCATTACCTTAGAGGCTTCACACAATCCATCAATAAGTTTTTTATGATGTGGGAATTTCTCATCTCCAACCAAAAGAAACCCGAGGGCATGAGTAGCATTCTCCTTCACCTACCAAATAAAAAAGAACAGTTCACTTCACGACAGCGACGTAACTAAACCAACGTGAACAACCGGATATGCAGACTAAATACAGAAGTAGCACAGTTGTATAGGTGAAGTTTGCCTTTTTGTAAAAAAGTTTATCTGGATAGTTTTCTCCCAATCGCACAAAAGGCTTTAATTCTGAAGCTACTATACTACTTTTAAAAACCTTTCATGTTTAAAACGAAGCGGGGCAGAGAGGCATAGCTAATGTTTCTTTTGTGTGAAGAACCAAATACAATGCAGTGTTCAGAAAACTTGCTTTAACTAAAGCTATTGTTATGCTTATTGATATCATTATCATTTTCATCAATTTACTACACTAACAAACCCGTCATATCAAAATTAGGACTGAGACCCAAAACAATCATGTACATGCCTTATTCTCTTTAGCCTTTTGTAGAGTATCGAGTAGCTTATCTACCACAGTCAACTTGCTGATACTTTCATCCTCCACAGGCGTTGTATTCTCTGACGATAACAAAAGCACAAAAAAGTCACTTAACAACAAAATACGGTATTTATAAATAACGGCGTGAACTAGTGTTCGGGTAGCAAAAAAAAAGGGTTAATAAGTTGTTTGGGCTTTCCGATTCATTCCACCTTTTTGGGAGTTTCGATTCCTATTTCAAAGCATAAAACTGCTTCAAAGGACTCTTTTGTCATATTCTTTAATCCGACAACAACCTGGGAGGGGGACGTTACAAACCTTGTTCCATTGACTCTACTCCTGCAGGGAGAGGCAGTGGTCCATTGCGTCCAATCTCAGCGATGGAGTTACAAGCTGAACAAGTTATTAATGCATTTCGACTGCTGATAAGTCTAACTGAAAAATAAAGAAAGACAGTTTTTTTAACAAGGCGCAATTGGAAAGGACTAGAAAACAAAGGAATTACAGCTGCTTTTCAATGGTATGAAAAACATGGCTCTTAGCTAGACACCCAGGGACGTCGCGAAAACACGACACGCGTGACCTCTACTCTCCCCAGCCCTCGCGTGTCAGTTTTTGCACAAGCTTTCACGATCTCTGCAAATTTGGAACCTTGAACAGGAGGGAAAAAACAGTGGCTCTTACATGCCCGAAGAAAGCCTAATAGTAAAAAGGAAAAACCAGAGAACCCATACTATTTTCACATTTAGCCTGTGCTCGGCTCTCGGTCATTGCGGACGAGCGAAAAAAGAGAGCGAGTAGTAAGAAAGCGAACGAGCGAAAAACGGTGTGAAGAGCGTCCCTCCCCAGCCCCCACGCGGTTTTTGCGTTCCGCGTTCATCACTATCTTGGAGCCTGGAACTGGCTATTTCACACTGTACCTATCCTTTTCTTCATATCGTAACATTACCATTGTAAGGGAAAAGGAACATTCTTAATTTAAGTGTCAAACCTATTCTTTCTACGCTTTGACTGAGAAGGTTCATGCATCTAATGGCGGTGTCTGCAGATCCTTCGATTTCCATGTCTTCCACCAACATTTCACCACTGTTAACAGCTTTTAGTCCTTCTTCATACAGGTATCGTGCTATGATAAAGCCAAGTGTACTCACTGAACCAAGTTGCATCTCAGATTGCTACAAATGACCAGTATATGTTGGATTTAGTCCAAAAATTGCCCAAAAAAGGAAAATAATCACCATCACCGGGTATATTACGAGCGCAAAACTGGCGTCAAGAGGTTTTGTCTTTCCCAGTTAGATACAATGTTAGATCCTGTCAGCCACAAAGATGGGTTCCCCAATCCAGATCACGTCTGAACGAGTTTTGAGGTTTTGGTGTTTTTAACGGAACAAGGTGACTGGAAAGATTATGACACACCTTCCGCATGCTTGATGCTTCATGCACAGTTCATATATATGTTTATCGATATCTTCAAATTGTCTTTTCATGGATTTTTCAGTTGAACACTATACATCTTTATATTTAATTATTTAATGAAAACTTTCGTAAATAAAGATAGTCGCAAGTATCTTATAGTTATTCACAAAATCTATTTTAATAAACTTTACCTCGCTATCAAGATCTTTGTTGAGTTCTTTAATCACATTTAAAAACGAATTCTCGCCCATTGTGCACGTGACAACAGCTAGTAACTGACCAGCGTACTGTCGGGCATCTTCTCTACTTGAGAATGTAAAACTCTACAAAATAAAAGTATGCGCTCGATTGGTGATTGGAAGTGGCCAGATTCCGGAGACTATACAGAAATATATCGCGACTTGGGCGACATCGGAATCAGCTAGATATGTCTGGAACGGTCTCCTAAAAGCGATTAATGGACCATGCAACTTTGTCGTAGGACACGTGCTAACGTTTAACCTGTCTCAAGGTTTCTACGCTGTAGCTAAAAAAAGAACGACAATCGCAAGCTAGTGGGCGCAGTAAAAGGTGGTTGTAGTGTCAAAGCGTATCCTCAAAGTTGTCCATACAGATGAGTTTCTCAGTAGTGCTAAAAAAAGGTACTGTTTACGCATACAGCTACAAAACGTAATCCTAACTAAACGAAATCCTAAATGTGACCATTCAAATACTTTCCTTTTCAAGTACTTTCCTGCGGTGCTATTTATTGTGCTGTAAATGCAATCGTAAAAATTGACTGTTCAAATGAAAACTGTACATCAGTTTTTGTGACTTTGCATGTATTCCTGTTTCTCAAAAAAAAAATAACTTGCCTTGATCCAATGAAGTTTTTCATGAAATATTCCAGCTAACAGTTTGGGTGCCACTGCAATGACTTGAAGAAGACAGCAAAGAGCGACAGCATGAAGATCAGCCCCTAAAAAAAAGCAACGATTGTCATGAAAAGCTAGCGATTTCGAGAAAGTGAGGCGACAAATCGTGTGCCGGGGAAAAGTTTTATTGATTAGCTACAGGAGCAAGTCGTTATATCTGCGTTTATATATTTGTGCCACACAAATTGAGAGGCAGACTTGTCTCCTCGACGCGTTGCACACAAGTTCAACATGTTTAACTTCATGGTACAAAAAAAACTGTCTATTTTTTGAGACTACGCCAAAATATCGCCATCTTGTTAGCTTAGCACATCACTGTGTATACAGTTAGCCAGGATGAAAAGCTTTTTCAGTATTCCTCAAAATCAACAAAATGAAACTGTAAGCGAGCTCAAGAAGTTGAGTTACAAGTAATAACATGTGATGTCACTACTCGGTACATACCTCCAATGGGCTGAAGTGCTTGTCTTGAAAGCTCAATATATTTTCCCATTGTACTTGATGAAAAATCTGAAATTCAAAACGTTAAAAATTCGTTTGAGTCTTAAAAATGGCCGTAATTTTACACCAACTAACTAATAACGAGGAGGAACAACTCGTTTTGCAAAGATTGATTTAGATTTTTCTCGTAGCGAGCATGTTGCTTCTTTATTCAGCCTTGTTTGCATCTTTTCCTCTCTATTTATTCCAGACGTCGTGTTCTCTGATAACAGATTAAAGTGATCACACGCACCTTCTGAGTCAGGACCCATTAACAGTTTTTTCACATATCGAGCGACAGAAGGAAGAATGCAGTTTTTGACTCTGTCCTTCTCAGTCACTCCTGCTGCGTGTTCCAGACATCTTTGCAAATACAAAAGAACCTGATACAAGCAACAAACAAAATGTCAAGTGGGGGCTTCGGATTCAAGAGTAACTACGTCATCCCAGACAAGTTGTATGAGACAAAAAACTGACTCTGTTTTCTCTGACAACGCGCTCAACGTTTTATTTAAGACCTCCAGAACATTTAAAGTTTTAATGGAACGTGTGGAGATAGCTTGAGTTCCATAACCTAGGCTGATCATCCTTTCCAAGACCATATGGATCAATTAATATGCATACCTATCTTCTCAATAGCCTAAATACACGCGATATCCACCCGCGAGGAGAGGTAACACGCAGAAGGGAGACATCCTCGCAGGAGGCGATTTCACCCATATTCGGGTACTTTTGCGTTCGCGCTAGTTCCCGAGGCAAAAAACGAGCGCTGATAGTGTAGACTAAGCACTAAAGTTGGCATGTTCACGATACTGTTTAAGGGGGGTGGTGAGGTAATATGATTCAGCTTTCAGTTAGTTTACACATGATCATCTTTGAAAAAAAAGAGGAATAAAACGTCTCCATCATACTACTAAGATCACCCGACCCAAATAAATTTCCCTACCTGTGAAAATACAGGCGGATTAAAAGGTAGTGCGGTGGTACCAGCTGTGTAGCAATGTTTGCCTCTCAGTCTTTGATGGCTCTAAAGTTAGATCAACAAGATATATTACACAACATTATTTTTAATAGTCCTTGCAATCCTTTTTCAAAACAGGTTCTCCAACAGTTATCTTTAAGTGATTTCATGATTAAAGGATGTTGTAAGTGTATGGAAAATAGATTTTCCCACTTTCATTCTGCTAGACTGTCGTGTTTATTATCCATAACCATGCTCTGTATTACACGGTCATTTGCATTTCATTCCATTTTAAAACAAAGCTCAGTCAAGAGAGTAACTTTGCTTATTGGAAAGAAGTATCATTTTTAATGCAATTAAATTACTATTTAAGCAGTCTTTCTTTGTTAAAAATTTAAACGTCAAATGTCTCGAAGTAATGTCAATGCTTTGCACAACAGAGTGGTGATCAGAAATAAAGACATGATCACAGAAGATGAATTTGCTTCCTATTTTATCACCTTCTAACCACCCCACTGCTTGTATAAGCGCTGCATTTGAGCAACAAATGAGAATTTAAATTTTGATCATAGGGTTTGTTACCTTCTGAGACACAAATGACACCAACTCAGGAAAAGCAGGGAGAAGGATTTCCTCAGAGTTGTCAATATCGGCCGCTTCTTTGTCATGAACTTGTGTTGCTCGTAATCCTTTTTTGGCTTCTTCCTTTACATCATCTTTTCTGCAGTAAGAAAAGGGACAGCAAAGACGGTGGTCAAGCTCTGAAATGTTTACTTTGGCAGAACCATAGAAGTCATCAAATATAAGGAGCCAGTTAAGGACGAACTGTGAACAATAGTTATGCTGCTATTGAACATGTCTTACTTAATTTAGCTGCCAATTCTAAAATTAAAAATAATGAAAACCTTTTACACTGTGGATGATCCAAACAACCCATGAACAATTCACTAAACTTGAAAAAAGTGGCTATCTTATTACGGTGTTAAATCTTTTCTATTCCGGGTTTCAGTAAATTGATTCCATTTTTTGGTGTATAAGAAAAGGCTCGTCATAGATCCCTGGGGAAAGAAACTTGTTGCTAATTAAGTAGTTCTCAATTATTGGCTTTTTATTTCATTAAAATGATATTAATGTTACATGTATGATTGTTAAGGTGATGACTTACAAATCAGCCACAGCTAGCATACACACATATCGTGATGGTATGTGAGTTCGAGGAAACACAGCATTGGCAAACTGCACAGCAACAAGTCTTGCTTGGTGGGTATCCTTGCAGAAAAAAGGCGAAATAATTATTACAACCACAAAATAAAGACAAATTTATCACCACATCACTTGGCAACAGATGGTCAAATTTCAAGAGAGACTTATCAGCAAAGACTTTTAAAACTGTTCAATATCATTGTATGTATAAACTGAGACAATCCTACAGAAACAAATAACTGTGTCTATAGATACACTTGCTCTAAGCCTTTTACCCAACTCAGTTCAACACAACACAAGGTGGTTAGTCCACTCTACCAACAGCATGTTCTTGCGCTGCTGGTTAGAACATGATTTTTAATGGCAAGTCAGATCATTGGCTCTAGAAGTGATAAGTTGTTGTTTGTATTGTAAAAGGCAGGTACCTGCTGCACATAGTTAAGTATAAGTGCCTCTATGAGGGCTAAGATAGTACTATCAGTATTCTTGTAGGATGGGGCCATCATGGAGAGAGCTTCTTGGACTGCGAGGCGAGTGTCAGACTCTTCCTGAAAAAAAGGCATCATTATTAGGCCAGGATACCAGAGGAGCTTTCAATATGATGGAAGATAGAGTCAGAAGATCAAAATACATCCTGAAATGTTCCACCTCCTCCTTGTCCTCACAGTAATATCTGCACCTGGGTGTTAGAGCAGGAAACAAAACATGATATCCATGGATCCCTTGACAGAGGGATAAATTAAAGATCTTGCATAACACTGCTTTAAAATACTTTTTATAAGAATCCTCAAAGAATGTTCAAGATTTTTGCTCAGGTCACAAGGCATTTATAAGCAAAACATTTTAGTCCTAATAAATTACCATGAAAAGACATCTGAGTATAACATAAATGAAGCACAATAAATAACCACCTCATGGTAGCACAGACATACCAACCTGGCAAAGAGCTTGAAAGAGCCTCTGAATAAGCGCAACATCTTTGCAGAAAAGCACAGGAATTCGCCTGATTTTAAAGTAAACATAGCATGAAAAGCAAATATGGTTTAAGAACTTGATCCTAAACATTGACCAAACTTTGAAAACTTACTTTGCCAGTTTTCCAATTGCTGTGTATGCCAACCTTCTTAGTTTTGGATCCTGTGAATGAACCAACAAAGTCATTATAAAAGCTTTTACAAACCTTGTCTTTGGGTCATATTGAGTATTTTGGGATTCTGCATGAGATACACACTGCAGAACATTTATTGTTTATTGTACAGTCATGATCTTAGAGTACTGAACAAACACAAAATACATTCAGAAACAGTGAGTTTTCTCTCTCTCAAACCTGTTTATCCTCACTGATAAGTTTAGTCATTCCATTAAGAAGCACAGGACCCATCATGGTGATAATCTTGTCTGAGCTCCACAAACACACATGGTGAACAAACTGAACAGCATACAGTCTCAGTTTGGCATTTGGCTCCTTTCCAAACAAACTGTCAAAAATTATCTGTTTAAAACAACAATAATGTAAGGAAAAGTAAACCATTGACAAATAAGTTTCTTGTACCATATGTTGTGGTGTTAAGTCAACATTACATCATTTATAAATGGCAGGGAATTATTTTTTCTTCTTTTTTTTCTTGTTTCTTGGATGTTCTGTCAGTTGTGACTTGGTGCAATGTCATTTTTAGGGAAACCATTCAAATCTTCTGTTTTCTCTACAGCTTCCTAACACTTGTTTTTATTGTTTGTACACATACATATCAAGTTGTATTAAGACTCAGTTCACTTTGCATGTTAAAAAAGAAAAACAATCAATATGAAAAAACTACAGCTTGCCATCAGAAAAAATTTCACAATCCACACTACCATTCAGAACAGGTCTGTGAAATAATTATCTCATCAAATGACAAGCAGAGGAAAGGCATAAAGGCCTTCACCTTTAACCAATAGGTAACTGTTTAATCGAAAGTCACATCTTAAATCCTTTAAGCCCCAGCAATATCCACATTCAAATTCTCCATACTGAGGTCTTTACATTTCATTGAAGAATTAGTTGAGAGAATTTGAAAAAAGATCAAAGCATTACCTCTTTGGTGATCACTATATCAATTCTCATAGCCTTTCCTACTGATTGTCCATTGATAATGTTATGAGAAAATTGATGTTGGTCACTCTTAAGACTTAAAAGGTTAAGCAATATGGCTTATGTACCTGCAGACAGGCAGGAAACTGATCAGCAGCTTTTCTTGACCTTAAAAGGTATGGATATATTCTCTGTTTCAATCGCACTCCAGCAGGAGTCCTCCGTTGATCAGGTGTCACTTCTGTTGCCTTTTGGGTTAAATAGCTATGTTAAAAAGGTATTAGCAACCTTTACCAGAAAGATACATAATACAGTATATCAAAGTAAAACAATAGACTTCTCTGATTGTTGATACACAATAGCAAAGTTTCTGAGCACTGACCCCACCCTGACCCTATGCCCGAGTAATAATAATAATTAATAATATTAATAATATTATTATTATTATTAATAATAATAATCCACCATGAGATTGTGGTACTCATGATGAAACTTAACTTCTCAGCACCCAGTAAAGTCACACTCCCCTTCGCCATCCACTTTCCACACTATGACCCTTCACAGTTATGTGCACAGACAAAATTCATTTATTTTTTGGTCTTCGAAGATCATCATAAAATATCAAAATCTGTACCTGCTGTGTTGATCCTGTAGTGGTCCCCTGAAAGATGCCAAACATCTTACTTACAACTTTGGGATTCTCAAAGTCTGTGGATCTTTAAAGACGACAAAAGAACTCAATTAATTTTCACTTACAATCCTGTATCAGATCAATAAATTGAAAAACAAAAGTAAGGATGAAACCCATAATGAAAGAGCATAAGTGGCTGTGCACAGCATTGAAGATCACTCTCACCTGGCAATTCTCTTCAGTTCATAGTCCCCTGTATCTGTTAAACTGTTGGCAAAAATTAGTTTGATACATCAGAACAAAGGAAAATAACTACATAAATAAACAAAATGCCTCAACAAAACCAAGATCAAATGCCATTAGGCAAACAGATTCACTGCTGTAAGCAATACAAAGTCAAAAACAATAGCAGTGGAAAAATAGAAAAAAGGTATTGCCGATTTTTCAGTAGCATCTGCCCTTCTTGATCACGGGATCACCTAGGACCCAAGGTGAAGGCCTTTTTGTGATCATGGCCAAGGTGATTCATGAACAAGACAGATACTGTCAGAAATGTGAGATCAAACATTTTTTCTATAATTTTATCCCTCACTCTTGATTAGATTTTTTTGTTTAATTTATTGAATCAACTGTTAGTAATAATATTATTAGTTATGCAGTTGAATGACTTCTTGTACAAGGTGCTGCTATTAATTTGCAATGCTAATTTAATATACAGCTTTATTATATAAACACCACCAATGAAATACCAGGTGAGCTTTTGCGTGAAAATGTGATATCTTTACACGTGAAAATTACATGTTATTTCCACATGTGAAAATATCACCGTTGCTATGGCTACATTATAAATCACGCCTTTCGTAGGAAAACACTCTTTCAGTAAAATGGTTTAGTATTTCATTGCTGTTTATATAATAAATAGAACATTACATGACCGCTTGGAGATACGAAATTTCTCTTCTTGTGTGGAAAATATTTCACTCATTCGCTGCGCTCACCAGTGAAATATTTTTCAACACTCAAAGAGAAATTTTGTATCTCCGCGCGGCCATGTAATATCCTCGATGTATTATAACATACCTATGTCTAGTGTCTCCAGTTGCAACAATGAAATGACAGAGAACATCAGTTGCCTCAAATAAATCAGAAGCCAGAAACTTGAGAACTCCAAGCTTTACCTGAGAAAAAAAACAATAACAAAGTACAATCAAATCGTTTCTTTGAGGCAGACACTTTTGAAAAAATAAAATGGAACCTGGAAAAGCCCCAAAGACTTCTGATAAATGGCTAGATTCTCCAGTTAGTGTGCCTGGATTAAGAGAAAAATTTGGTATTAGCTCAGGAGTCATTTGGGGCATTGTCTTGTGCACCCAAAAAGGTATTCAAATATTCTGTGCACTAGAAAAATACAAAAAGCACCCCTTCCACTTTCCAAAAGAGGAGCACTGCAAAAAGGTGCTATGTTACAGGGAGCACTATAAAGTTTGAAATATTTTTTGCTATTCAAGGCAATTCTAAATTTGTAGACAAATTCCAGAGTACATATATAATGTCTAATGCATATTATCACCTGTTCCAGTGTGTTAGGCTCCAATGGCGAGTCTGCAGTGACACGTTTTACCGCTGCTGTACTCAGCCCTGGAGGAGCTACAGACTGAGAAGTCATAGCTGAAGACTGGTCTGCTTCTGCTGTTGTGTTCGATCCTGAAGGTAAATCAGTTGGAGCTATTGGTTGCCTTGGTGTAGTGCTGTAAACAAAGTAATGAAAAGGATCAGATGAAACACAATTCAAAGTTTTGTGAAGACACACAGGCTTAATGTAAATGTAATGCTGAAACATAAAACACACCTTTAACATAAACTTTACCTGTATGGCATCAAGAGAACATCTAAAAGAAAATCCAATAATATCTGCATGACTTCTGGTTTCTCTGTGAACTCAAACATCTTTTGTCTGTCTTCTTTAGATTCAGGAATCTTAACTTGGCCTAAAATTGGCAAAACCAGCTGAAGAAGGCTAAAAATAAAGCAAAGATAAAAATTGGAAGATTTACTGTATCAGGAACCAGTTGTTTAAAGCAGGATTAAGATAACCCAAAATTAGTGTCAATCTTGAAAGTGGAGTGTCACATATCAGATAGGCATTGTGCCATAATTTGGTGCAGTTTGAACGCCTATTCGGCCCATCACGGAAGTATAAAATAAGTGGGAGTGAATACTGTAACACACTGGGTAAATGTTCAAAAGCGAGGATTGGAATTTAGTGCACCAAGCCTTGATCTTATCCATACCCTGGGTACAGGGTTGTCATTAAGAGCCGGGGGCCGGGGATTTTCCCCGGCTACTAAGAGAGTGGCTCCCAGCTACTTTTATTGGAAAATAGAAGAAAAATAGAACCAAAAGAAATCCCTAGCCGTTTGATTCCCTGCCTACTTGTTGTGTTTACCCGGCAACTTGAAATCTTAGTGACAACCCTGCTGGGTACCAGAGGTTTTTCTCGAGTGCGGCAGGAATTTTCAGTGTTGGCCGAAGGCCGACACATCTTCGGCCGTAGGTGGAAGCCACGAGTGGCAAAGCGCGGGTCACTATAAAGACTTGACAGAAACCAGAAATTGGGCTAGAAAAGTCTCTGGCACCCAGGGTATCTTATCCAAACTGCATGTACCGGCATGATGTTCGATGTACGTGAATGGCGTGTGCTACCCCACTCCGTTGCTGTTCATACTACACAGATAGCTTTATGTGGTGCCACAAAAAGTTATCAGGTATAGCCTTATAATAATATTGCATAAAAAGAGAGCCCATATTAATCAACTCACCAGTCTTGTTGAGGTGAGGGTTTTCCACTGACGCAGTTTATTAGCTGTGGTGCTAACTGCACTTGTCTGTCAATTGGCAGTCTGGGGAAACCCATTCTTAAGTATAAGATGGCAAAATTCTGTGAAACAAAGAATTATCAGTCTCTAGCTAGCATTACAGCCAGGCTTATCACTTCAGACCTAGATAAAAAAAAAACTTAGACTATATATAATTTTTATGAAAAAATGTTTCTCTTAGGTCTTAAATAAGTGCAAAGTTTGGCTGAACCACAGGCTAGAGTCTCTTGATAGAGTCTCTTTCAGTTTTTCAAAGTTACATCTTCCAGTGGTTTGTTTGCATTTGACATTTGTTTCTAAACTTCCCAGTGCTTCCATTGATTCTGACGCTGAGTTCATTTAAAACTATGCAACTTAAAAACCAATCAAAAGATTACAATTATAAATATTATTTCTAGTATGCTACAACATTCATGATAGGTGAAGAAAGAAACCAAACTGTTAACTGCAAATACTGGCATCTCTTGTCACTTCCAGTAATGCAAGGGACTCCAAGAACCAGAAAGCTAATGGTTATCAGTTCTAAGTCTTTTGAGCAATGCTTAAAGGAATTTGATTTTAATTTGTGTACTAATAAAACATTATTATCTACTTACAGAAACAAAGGCAGGGACTGAAGAATCCTACAAGATGATGTTCAACACATTAAATGTTGGGTTAACAAGCAACTTATCCATTGACATTAATTGCCTCAATTAGATTTTGTAGTTTACATTGCATAATTCTCTGTTAAGATTTGCCAAAATTATTTTCTGCCTGGGTAGAGGGGGGAGGGGAAAACATTTCTTTAGTTTACAGAGTTTACACTCAGCAGTTATACCATAACCAACTGAATCAGCGCAGATCAGAGGTCAATCCTGTCATTAGAAAGATACTACATGTAAAATCAGGGTTCAAAATAAAATCACAGCTTTTAGCCTGAATCTGTAGGGTTTTTTTTGTCAAGGCTTATCTTTTCCCAGCTGTCAATAATCACTGTTTTTCACTTTCCGCGATTGCTTGTGTGTACTGCTACACTAATAACTTTAACCAAATCTGCCAAGAACCAATTGCCTAGTACGTGGCCAAAATTTTTTTGAATTGAAGTTTCACTGTTTTTCTTGAGAAAACTTGAAAATATTAAGTGATTTTGATAATATTTTGCACATAACAGATGCTTTGAACGGCCAAAATAAAACAAACCATCATGCTTCTTCACTCACAAACCAGGGCGGAGCACCAACATGGGAAATTCGTGAATACAAAACTGACTCTGATTTGAATAAGTGAAAAGGCTTCACAAACAATACTAAACAAGCTTTTGTGTGAAAGAAATCTTGATTACACGTGCAGAAACATAAAGGCAGTAACGCAACAGTCTGTCTCGACAAACTTGTATGTTTCATTCTTGAACAAATGCGTACGTTGAACAAGAATTCTCCTTTTCAACTTTTGCAGCACACTTTAAATTTCCAAACCTTTTTCTACTGTTTCTAAACATTTTAAAACTTTTCCAAAACGTTTTTCAAACATTTCTTGGCTGCTTTATTGTCTGATATGGAATCACAACATTACAGCGACTTTGATTTTAGTTGACCAATCAAAGCATGACATTTTCTTTTTCTTCGGTAAAAAGGTGCCAGCAAGTGTGTTCAAAGTGCCGGCAGCTGGCTGCTATTTTGACCCTGAAAATGACTGCACAGAGAATAAGTCATGGGTGACTGGCAAGGGGTTTAAAACAAAGTGGTAAGATAACACCTGTAACTTGCGAGATCTTAAGGTTGTAAGATGTTGCTATCTCACCCTGGGTGCCAGAAGCTTTTCATGTGCAGTTTCCAGTTTCGGTAAATGTCTGTATAGTGACCTGAGTTTTTGTTGCGGCTTTGCCCCTCATGTCATCAATACTGCTAGTGGCATGTTGAAAATTCAAGATATGGTTGCAAGATATCAAGATTTGGAACTCACCAACTCCTCCCCCCCCCCCCCCCTAAATTTTGGACCCGGACTTTTTAAAACCCCACCCGTTTTGGAATACTTACATACGGTGGGGTTAAGAAACAAAAAAGAAGAGGGAGAGTTGCGTACCCCCCCCTTCCCAATTTGCAACATCAGTGTTTTTTTCGGTGCAGTTTCCCGTTTTGGGAAATGTGTTTATAGGGTACTTGGTTTTTTTTGGGGCTTTTCCCCTCATGTCAACAAAAATGGTAGGGGCATGTTGAAAAATCAAGATATGGTTGCAAAATATCAAAATTTGGAACCCACCCACCCCCCCCCCCCCCCCCTCCTAAATTTTGGACCCTGACTTTATAAAACTCCACCAGTTTTGGAATACATGAATACGTGTGAGTTCAGAAAAAAAGAAGGAAGAGGTGAGTTCCACGCCAGCCCCTTCCCAATTTGCCAACATCATTTTGATGTAAATGTCGTGGTTCAATTTTGTCCTTGGTTTAAACTGATAATCATACATTACCATAGCCAAAAACAAGGGAAAATAAAAATTAAACCAAGGATAAAATTGAACCACAGCATAAATAAAAATCTTAAAATTAAACTCACTTGATATTGTGCAAATAGTGAATCGACTGGGAGTCGAATCTTTGGTCGGCTTTTTAAACGCTTGTTGAGATGGGTCAGCAAAGTCATCACCTAGATTCAGAAGAAATGAAGCTTTTGTAAGCTTGAGTTTAAGATTAACCTTAAAGTGCTCCTGTGTCATCAATCAACAACTGTGTGATTCTTTATTTAATTAAAGACTAGTGATCGCAAATCTACCCATAAAGTTTACGAAAATATAATTACTGCCCTTTCATTCACCTTATTTTTGACTTCCTGGTGTGGACTTGCAACTTTTAGCAAAATGGGGCTCAAGAAATTCCCCACAGTTTTCTCAAGCTGGTCATCTGTTTCAGCTGATGCGATACGAAGAAAAACTCTCTCCAGTAGTTCTATAAATAACAAACATTGGCAACACATTCCTTGACTTCTGTTTATCATTTAACCGTGACTGGTGTAAAATTTATCGGTGAAAATAGTAGCAAAATCACTTACCAAGTTCATCTTTCGCGCTGGCCGCCATGTTGAATTATCGCGTGCGTGTTCTTTTTTGTAAAACAGCTGACTCAGGGTGAAGTGCGTGAAAATCGGCTCATTACTCGCGCGTATCCCACGCGAGTAAGAGGTTGAAGACAAAAATACTTCGATACATTACTTCAAACAAAGAAAAATGGTGATACACTCTAGGCAGAGTCGGACTGAACGTTATATAAGGAAAAAATGCGCAATCAGAGCTCCTGAAGCAATTTTATTTAGGCCTAGAAAATACAGAGGCCGGGAGAGGTAAAAAAAAGCCAGGTCAGGTGTTTTGTTTTTTTGGTGCATTTGTTGTTTGTTTGTTCACTCTTTCTTATGCACGTTCACGTTGATCCTTTCCCTTGTCGATGGAGGGGTAGTCTGCTACACAGCCGCTTTTAGAGTCGTCACGCAACGGGGAGGAGCGTTGCGTGATGACACTAAATTGGGTGGATAGAGGTTCATGCAGTTGTCACGTGCAAACGTGTAATGACTGATTTCTGATTTCGTATTAAACGCGGACCTTCCAGGTACGCTAGTCCAGTTTTATTTCAGCTGATTTTTAGCACGAAACTCTTTCACACTCAACAGCTACTCTTGCTCAAAATAGAACTGGCCGTTGTGTGAAGAAATGAGTTCTCCCAACTCTTCCCCGCCAGATGCAAATTTCCGGAAACGCTCAGTCGCGCGTTCTTACTCCAGTGAACTGGGTACTGTCAATGAATCTGGCGAAGAAGAAGGTTGTTTGTGTACGGGCACGTATTTATCAGATATGAACGAGAATTCTGTGTTCGAACGTTCGTATCCAGGTCAACCTATTCTTGATACAAGTTCGACATTATCAGGGGCACCAATGCAAAGTATTCAGACAACGCCATGTCCTCGAGAAGTCATAAAAACAAGAATAAGATATCATTTCATGAATCCATTTCAGAAATTTCGAGCAAGGCGCAGAAAACCTTGGAAGTTGGTAGTTCAGATCGTGAAAATTGCCCTTGTTACTCTTCAGGTGAGAATCAAATATTCTTTACTCCCATCTCATAGCGGTTTTATTATGCATTCGTTTTTTTTATTATTGTTATTATTTTTAACAACGTAACTTAAAAAGTTGATTTGCTTGCGCATAAAGAGGTTTGTCTAACGTTTAATTTTGAACAGATTTTTTTGAAAGCGTTTGTGCGGATAACGAACGGATAGGACCGTGTTGCCGTTCACATGACTACAGTCGACCCTCAACTAAGAGTGACCAACGTCAGTCTTCTCCTAACAATAATCAATACATCACGAAAAGAATAGATTATGGAAATTGTGAAAAATAAATTGTTCAACGTGGGAAATTCTTTAATCTTTAATCAAATAGAACGGGGGGTGACAGCTCTAACAAGGGCTGTTTCGGGAGAAAAACAAATTTATTTTGGGAATCTGGAGATTTTGCCGGGAATCGGGAAACCTGGGAAATTTTTCGGGAAATATGAGATATTTTCGGGACATTGAGCAAAGATTTGATATTACATGTTATCAAACAATATATATACAGTGATATGCACNGAGCAAAGATTTGATATTACATGTTATCAAACAATATATATACAGTGATATGCACCCAGTGTATGCGCTGTATTCTATGTATTTTGACACTTGAAAACGGCTGAACTCCCCATGATATGAAAAGACCAATCATTAACGTTTCCAACTAAAATAGCATGAAGTTCGAGTGCGATTGACCACATGCAGTCCCCAGCAGATTGACACAAGAACCGTACCGGTGCAAGGCACAAACTATCAGTTCACACTAGATCCCATCATTCATTAGTTCAGGGGTATTTTTACGCTACACGTTAACGAGTTTTAAGAGCACATTCCACTGATTGCATAATGGAAAACTTAAAAGAAGTACGTAAGAAGTATGTAAGAAAAAAACGAAACTCATTTAACCTTGTTAAACACAAATGAGGCCATAAAAAGTAGTATGTCTGTGAAGACTCTTTTTAAAATCATCCTGATCTCGTCGGGGTCCTTTCGATTTTGCTCGAAAATCCCGAATCCCGATCAATATGCGTTCGGGATAGGAAAATTTCAGATTTCGACAGTTGTTCTCAAATTTTCGAATGAATTCTTATAATACTCATACAATGACACCACACAGAGTATACTTAGCTGAAAGTGATATCCAGAGCAATTTCAAAAACCGCACAACTTGTATAAAATAAAATTGACTACTTCTACGCGAAGTCATGCCAGTAAAAATAAGCATAAAAAAGACAATTGATTTAGAGAACATTTTGGACAGAATTTGTCCTCTCAGAACACTAGAAATGGCATTTCAGAGCACCAAGATTTAAAAATTTTCTTGGGGAGCATGCCCCCAGACCCCCCTAGGGTTAGCCCCTTCACTGCTCGCCTGATTCATCAGTGATTAAAAGACAAAAAAAACACGATTTTATGTACTTAAAAAGTTTGACAGTCTTTCTGTGTTAACATGATACCCTCTAAATGAAAAAATAACTAAGGTTAGATAATTAACAAGTTACATAATTAGAAAACAAATTTGGGAAGTTAAACATTTATGGGGAATGCCACGGAAAAAATCGGGAGGGTCGACAAAATTTCCGGGAGGACATAAAGTTATTCATAGCACTGCCCAAACAGCCTTTGTTAGAGTTGTCACCCCCCGTAAATAGATGTATGGACATCAGTCTGGAGAATTTGTGTAGATATTGAGGTATAAAGTTGTATCCCGATCTCACTATATGAGTGCATGGTAAGTTGTACATGTTGTGTACCCCCATGATTTAGGATCATGTGTCTCATAGGGGTTGTTAACCGATGTATCGGCTGACATCTCAGTCAACTGTCTGTTGACATATAATTTGATCAATATTTCAGAGAGATGTCAGTCGTGATTTGGTCGAGTCTCAACCAATGTGTGGCCTGTGGTCGCCCACTTTAGGTTATCAATCAATAGTCATCGTTACTTCATCAACAAGTCACCGACATATATTTATGACAAAATGCAATAGGCCAATGCAATGGCAGATGCCTTGGTCGATCATTGGCTGACATAATTATTAGTTGATACATGTTTATTAGTCAACTGTTGGACGAGTATCGGTCGAGTCTTGGTCGAGCTGACTGAGTATAGACTGATGTATAGGCCATGCCCCAGCGACCAGCTTGTCTAGTATCGACCCATACCATGCATCAAGCCACCTATGAGACTCATGATATCTGGAACATTCCCTATAAGATGAAAATAGCCTGCGATTTAGTAACTGATCGATCTGGTATCAGCCTCAGCCGATATTTGTAACAAGGAATGTCCACCGCGTGTCATTTTACAGGTACCTTGTAACAAAGGAAAAACTCTTGGGTACAAAGGTGATAAAAAAATGTTCAAGCAGTGCAGATTGTCTACTGATGCACCACTGATACATGTACCTCACTGATACTTGACCAATGGTTTGCAGATACATTGCCAACACACTACCAATACTATCATGACCAAAAGTAAAAAGACCAACAGAAAGACACCACTTGGCAAATATACTGGCTGATTCCTCAACTGACACAGGACTGGTATAGCGATCGATATGTCAACCTACAGTCTACTCTCTCTTAACGGACACCTCTATAAGACAGACACCTCTGTAAAATGGACACCTAGAGTTGGTCCCTGCCTTTCTTTACTCCCTTTATTTAACTCTCTATAAGACGGACACCTCTCTAAGATGGACACTTGGTGCCTGTCTCAAAGGTGTCCGTCTTAGATAGAGTTGACTGTACAGTCTACCAAGATGTCAGCCTGATATATTGGTCAAGTATCCGCTGACACCCCCTTATAAGACACATGATCCATGGTTTATGAGCTACATATTTTATGGGAAACAGCAACAGAAAACCTTATCTCGATCAGCTTACATTGAGAGGGAAAATAAAATGTAGCTACTTAATTCTTGGTGCTCTGAAGCCAGGAATGGCAAAAACTAATGATAAGCCTGTTGTCCAAAGACGTCTCCAGGAAATTTTGCCTGTACAGCCTACATCTAGCAAAGTAATTTCTTAATTAATGGATTACAGCATAATTTTAAGTCAGCACAAATCCAACATGTACAGGTTCAAAGTTGCAAGTTCTGTAAAATATTTTTAGGAAAGGTGCACTTGCTAGTAGATGTACAGGAGTATCCCCTTTAAACTTGTTGTTGTTATATCTACAGCTACATCCCTATTTAGGAAATACTAAACTGGTGACATGACACTTTTTCATCTTACCATAATATGAGAAAATGTCACCCAGGCAGAAGAATGCATCTTTTAATGTTTTCCTTACTGTCTGATGGTATTTTTTTAACTTGCAGATTTGCTTGTTTGGGTTAGACAGATTTTCATTGGTGACCTTCCTGGAAAACAATCAACTTGCCTTAAAACACTTGTTTCTAAAAGATTATCAAAGTGATGACAAAGTTGTTGTTTACACAAAAGACCAACTGTTCAATTATCTGTACTATGCCCATGAACAAGTAAGTCCCAGCCAACAGTAGAGAATGTTTTGCCATTTGCCAATGCTTTGGAAAATATGCAAACTATATGGGCATAAATTTTCTTGTTAAAAGGTAAACTTGTGAAACAACAAGTCTGCTGAAAGTTGACTCATAAATTCTTGGTACGCTCCATCTGAGGGAAGTTTTATTAATATAGTCATCTAGCTTACTTGGTGTTGTTGTTGTTTTTATCAATTGACAGTATTATCAAGTGCAAAGCATTCCTCTTGGCACGTATGACTACACACACATGAATCATTCAGAGCCTCCAAGAGTTCAGTTATGTCACAGTCACTATGCAGTCAAAGGAAAAGAAAACAACCCATTTGCGCTAGATGATCCTGTTGTAGGTGTGTGTGGCAGAATTCCTTTCCAGGGGATTTTTGAGGTTGTGGAAAACCTTTCATACTTGGCAAAGTCTGTTCACAGTCAAGATTGGTTTTTGTTCAATGAAAATGTTTGGAAAATACAAACAGTATAGTCCAGAAAATGATCATGTTGTACATCATTGTGATATTCCACTTTCTGTAAATAATTGACAATTATTGGACAAGGTTGAGCAAAATACCGTGATATTTGAGACACTGACAAATCACGATATTTTGCGATAACCAAGTTTATTGTTTTTGTTATTGTTTTATCATTCGATCACAAATCGCTCTTTGAAAGGTCAGTGAAGCAATCTGCCATTTTCACGCAAGAGTGATCGCAAGAAGGAGAAAGCGTGGTTTCATTCATGCATGAGCAGAATATAATTTGCAGCCAAATACAGTTGGATGACACTGCGTATTTAAGCAGACCATTATTTGTAGGCAATTATTTGCAGATTATGTGGTGGGCTTTTGGCCAATGAAAAGGGAGAGAAATTTGCATCAAATGATAATGTTACACATTCAGTGAACAATGTTGAGGATTGATATAAAAGAATATTTTTGGCATGGAGAAGTTAGTAATTACATCTTAAGTTGATTTGTTGACTTGTTATTACAGATTGCTTCAATTGGCCACGTCCTGACAAACATGGGCATAATCTCATAACAAACAAAACCTTCAATTTAGAAAGGTGAGACCCTGTTATCATTGTTAAGTACCAAAATTAGTAGGAGGTTTAATTGGTAGTTGTGCTGCTGTGACCTAACCCAATCCTAACAGTACTTCTCTTGGTCCTGCTCCTGCATCCGCAAAGTAAACCCAGTGCAAAAAATGGATCTAAACAAGTTTTAAAAAAGTCCATTAGCAAAATCTTGCCAAAAAAATCTTACTTAACTAGTATATATATATGAATGTAGTTTTCGTTACTTTTTATTCTTTTTGCTGTTGCAGTATTATTTTCATTGTTACCGATGTTTTCAAACTTTTATTTTTTTTAGGCTTCGTAAAATTCGTATGATGTTCTCATTACAAACAGTGAACTTGAAAGATGTTAAAGCCTGGGACAAGCCTGCCTGCTATAAACTAAGTGTTACAGTGAGTCTTAAGCTAATCATTAAAACCATGTTTGGGAATCAATGTTGGTGTGCTTGGTGGGAGCTCACAGAACTGCAGAAGGAGATTAACTTAGAATGCATACCATTATATAGCAATTTCCACATCTATAACAAGCCTGACTCCTCATCCGTGTCATCACAAGAAACTCTTGGGGTGGGGGGGGGGGGGGCAAAGCCACCCTTTACTTGTGGGGTTTCACTTACTTGGAACGGGCACAGTTAACCAACCCGAAATCCTTGCGGGGGCTCATGATTGTAAATCAAAAAAAAAATTTGTTACACATTATTTTTTCCCTCCCTTTTTTCAATTTCCACATCTATAACAAGCCTGACTCCTCATCCGTGTCATCACAAGAAACTCTTGGGGTGGGGGGGGGGGCATAGCACACCTTTACTTGTAGCGTTTCACTTACTTGGACACGGCACAGTTAACCAACCTGAAATCCTTAGCGGGGATCATGATTTGAATACCAATAACAGAATTGTGATCACTTACTTTGTCCCTCCCTGTTTTTGTTTTTTAGATTTTGTTTGATAATGTGGATCATGATGGAAGAATGCCAGTTAGACTGAGCATGAACAACACTTGGTTAGATTGCAAAAATGGGAAAATAAAGGGATCAAATACTATGAGTGAGTCGTACATTAACACATGCATAGTGACATATGGTGAACAATGTTAGTTTTATAGTACACATGCACCTGAATCTCTGTATGCCTTTATTATGACTTGCTTGTTTATCTCAATTTTTATTGAAAGGGGCATTGCTTTGTTGTGGTCAAATTTTTTTATTCCCTGCCATACTTTTTTATTTTGCTACTGACCTGGGTACTGTCACTGAAATTTTTATTTCCATCCAATAATTTTGTACCAGTTTAAAAATCAATTGTACAAGTACAAAGACAATTTGTACCATGCGCAAAATTGCACGAACCACAACATAATTATACAGAAGCTGGGGGTAAGGTATTCCAAACTGGGGCAGTTTCTAACAGAAAAAGAGAACTTGTGCACATTTATGTTATACAAAAAGCATTGTTACTGAAATGGGTGTTGCACGCTGGCTCGCATGACGTGCGAAGAGACTGTCTCACGTAGATCTTTATGAAAAGGTATTTTAACATTGCCTGTTTGGATCTTTAAAACATTATAGATTCTTAAATATCATGGAAGTAAATATTATTGCATGTGAATCTTTTGTAGAGGCACACTTCATAAAAACAGCTTTGGTGGTGTTTGATGTGGTTGTCATATCCATGTGTTCACTTTCTCTTGTGTTATGTGGACGATCAATTTACAGATCTCTCAAATTAGCCAAAGTAAGTTGGTAGAAGGATATAAAACCAGTATCTGGGAAAATCACCACAATACATGTATAGCTTTCTGAAAAAAATTTTAAAATGTTACAAAACTAACGAGCATCAGTAGGATATGGATGCCAGCCATTAAAACTTGGCAACTCCCCCCCTCCCCCCTCCCCCCACACACCCAAATGCCACTAGCATGTTTGTCTGTATCTGTTCAACAGATGTGTGAGGTTCTCAAAATTTTGTGGCTTTTGGTGGAACATGTCTCAACTTTTGTGTGTGTTGTATACACCCAATGCAAAAATGGCTGCCGGATTAATATTCTTTTGTTTAAATTAAAATCAGCCTGACTAGCCTCGCCTGTGATAATGTATTCTTTTGAATTTTGTAGTGGAGAATAAGGCTAGTTAGGCTAATTTAAATTCAAACAAAAGAATGTTAATCAAGCAGCCATTTTTGCATTGGGTCTATGATTAAGACTTTCATAAGTGTTTGATTTTGTATGCCATTTTTGTCTTTGTTTTGCACCAATGAATTATGCAACGAGGGTATGAAATATGATTGATAGCAAACAATTTTTATCTTAATAAAGGAAGTCGCCAAGTTTTTTAAGCAAGACACAAGCCTAGAGGAATTTACTTTCTCAGATTACCAAGAGTTTGTCAGCTTATGGTTTTTTGTCATCATGACAAGTGACAGCCTCACAATCATTGGCTCAATATACAAGATGGTCATTGATCAAAGGGTGAGGTTACTTCAGGGGCGGATTCAGGGGGAGGGTGCAGGGGGTGCGCACCCCCCCCCCCTGGGATGACCTGCGGCCGCTTTCTAATTAACACTGTGCAGTCGCTTGACAGATATACAAAATCTGCTCTATCGTTTGATATGTATTCTTAGCAGTTCACATTATGTTATTTCCTAGTCAAAAGCGCTCTTCTTCGTATTCGCTTTTAAAATTTTTTACGTCATCGGTCAGTTAGTGGTGCACCCCCTCCTAAGAAAAATCCTGGATCCGCCCTTGTACTTAAAAGGCTGATTGTTCTTCTTATTACTTTGCCCTTGAGTTGTATCAAGGAAGGGACCTTTTTAACCCTCCTCCCCCTGCCCTCATCAAGTGTTCCTAAAGTCTTCAGCAATGTTTTTGAAAAGTTAGTAGCACCTGGAATGCTTCCTGGTATCCACATTCATCAAGAAATTATATGGTCAACTTAAGTTTTTCTAGAGGGTACACAGACATTGTTTTATTTTTCTTCTTAAAAACATCGGTGAGGGTGTGGGTGAGGCAAGCGCTTGAGTGAAGCGAGTGAGCAAGGGTAAAGGGGACAATGAGCACAGAGCATGAGAAAGAAAATTTTCTTCTTCCCCCACCCCTACCCCCTTCCACTGGCGGTTGATAAATCCCCCATGGTTTTTATTTTTTATCACGCACACTTGACGGACTTTAAAAATAGAGGGTCTGTGAACAGACAAAAGTTTTTCAAATTACTTTTGTAATGTCTTTTGTTCCAGGATAGTGATTACTATAATACCTGCAGCATTTTCCTTGGAACAGCAGTGCTCTTGGTTTGGATTGGTCTTCTGAGATTCCTGGGATACTCCAAGAAATATAATGTAATGCATTTTCATTACCAACAAGCTGTTGATTACTAGTGCTAAGTTATTGTTTTCCCCCTCTGTTTAAAATTTATCTCTTGCGAATTGCAAAAATGACCTCCTTGTACATCTGCAACATACTAAACAGCACAACCACTAATGTACTGGAATTACAGAGTAACTTTAATTTGAATAATTACAATAAATGAAACTTAAAATTTGTTTAATTACAGACGTTTACTTGAAAGCTTTAGACATCCCTCTATTCTTTTTCTCATATCTGTATTTGAAAAAAAGTGCAAACTGGATCAGCAAGTCAATGAGAAATGTTATTCTAGGTGGTGGGGTGGGGTTGGAAAGCTTGCCCATTTTTCCCCTCCCCGCTTCGTGCTTTGCGCTCACTTTGTTTTGTAGTATTCTTACCAGTATGCAGTGAAAGAATCAGAGGGCCATGATCATGACAATCTAGCTAAACAGTATTGTTATTTCAGGTTCTTTTGGTGACATTAAAAGCTGCCACTCCAAGTGTACTCAGATTCTTTGTTTGTGTGTCATTGTTGTTTGCTGGTTTTATGCTGTGTGGCTGGATTGTACTAGGACCTTTCCATCCCAAGGTGATTCTTATAGTTAGTGTGGTTATCATCAACATATCCAAAGACTGACTGACTGATGGCATGTCATTGTTTTTCAAGTTTATTCACTGACTGACTGACGGACTGGTGACTAATTGATTACTGACTGACTGACAACTGATTAACTGACTGACTGGCTGGCTGGCTGGCTGGCTGGCTGACTGACTGCTTGCCTTCTTGACTGCTTAATGGATTGACTGACTGACAGACTGATTGACACTGATATCTCAACACTGTAGATGGATAAACCTCTATATAATTGGAGTACTGGTAGTGTTTTATCCACGATAAATTCTTCAGTCAAATTCATCCTTTGAAACAACCTGGGCTTGGTAGATACAAGGAAGGAACAGGATAGCAAATATGTCTTAGCATTGTAGAAGGTTACGTGTTTTATTGTTCTTTTTCTTTTTTGTTAGTTTAAAACACTCACTATCACTGCCGAGTGCCTGTATTCCATAGTTAATGGAGATGACCTGTTCAACACTTATGCTAAAATAAAGGAAATGAAGACACCCACTACAACATGGATCTTCAGTAAAATCTACCTCTACGTCTTCATCGCACTTTTCATTTACGTTGTACTGAGCTTGTTTATTGGTATCATTGGAGATACATATGAAAGACTGAAGGTCAGTGAACTTCACACTTCCCTAACACAGCATTTCCTCTATCGAGCCCTCAGTGTAAGGCGCTAAATATTAATTAAGCTCTCAGCGTCTTAACGTTCTTTTTTGATGTATCATACACAAAAACTGATCGATATCACTACCGAATACACAATTGTTTAATTCTTGTGCCCATAAACGCTTTTGTTTGCGTAAATTCTTTGAAATTGTTAAACTTAATAAGTGTACGTGAAAATTCATTAAGACCCCCTTCTAATGTACAACCGTCCCGCAACCCTCCCCCCCCCACCCCCTTCTCCCCCACCTCTGTCTAGAAGCACTGAAATATAAATAGTCCCTCCACTCCTTACATCTTTGGAAAACCCCTGCAATTTCAGTATCGTATTTTATGAATCAGGGGTAGGTCAGTGAAAAAAGAACGAATCCTCGATTTTTTTTCTTTGTTTGGGAATTTAGAAATGGATTTGATTACCCGTTATGCTTGAGTTTTGGGTCCTGTAATATTCATAGTATTTGTACTCTGGAAAACTTTGAATTTTCATTCTCTTTTAGGAACACAAATCCTGTTCATATACTCACCTCTACGATGCTTACACTGGTTCACAACCTTTTGTCATCCGCGTTAACAAAGTTTAACTCTGTGTTGTTTCTTGCATGTTCTGTTTTTTTTTCGCGTAGGATATGGGCCATCTTCCAGAAACAAAGATAGAGAAATTCTTGCACGAACCAGCAAATATTGGTAGATCTGTTAGTCAAAGGGAATACACTTCAATACCATCATCAGCCGAGGCTGTTAATGTACCTTCTCCTCCCAACCAAAGAAGAACGACTCCTTACGGGTAAGAATGATTATAGTCTCACACCTTGTAGACTTTACTGGTCCACCGGTTACCGGTCGTTTCGATACAAGTGGTTTCGATACAAGGTTATTCAGTCGAGGTGTAAATAGTTTCACGTCATTAGCTTTAAGAACGAAGAATATTCACCCAAAATGTTTTTCTTATTCACGCGCAAATTATACTCGAAGTGAACGAAATTTTTTGGGCAATTTCATAGCTTGAGTTCGTATCGAAAAGGCTGGTTTCCGGTCCACCTTATGATATGTACATGTCGATGTCACTTTGCAATAATATAACTCTAAATTAGGGTAATTAAAAATAACTTCATTATAATAAACAATAAATCAAGCACCAGTACAGTTCGCGTTAATTACAAATCAAATGCGTCCTTAAAAAGATAAGTCTATAACTTAGTTTTAAATATGGTTACAGATGATGATTGCCAAATGTCCGATGGTACATGTAATGTGTTCCATCAGGAGAATGCGACGCTTTATGTGCTTTGCTCCATAATTTCGGCCCTCTCGTCAGTTTATATAGCCTGCGAAAACATCCGTTTCTCCTAGCGAGGAGAACGGACTCATCGAGCAACTCGTTGACAGAATGTACCGTTTAGTCAATATCGTAGTCTGATTGAATAGAGTCAGGATGGTTCTCGAATTTACCGCTGTTCGTAAACCCCTTTCAATCTAAATTCCCTACTGTAGTACGTCTGGGAATATTTTTGAATCCGGACGAAGTCTCCCCTCGCGTGTGCTAGTACCCGGCATTTACTGATTTAGCTTAACAGTTGATATTAAGACAGCATGCCTTGCAACTAGTAAATCCTGGGACAAACGATTGTACATACACACTTATAGAAAAATAAAAACGCTATTTCTTTGACGCTGTTACAGATTTTAAGGGAAAACCTACAGACCATGTTCTTAAAATTAACCACGTCTGATCTAGGCGGCGTTCAGTTTGGGTCCACTCCTCTTCTCATTTTTCATTTTCTTTTTCATTCTTCTTTTGTTTTGTTTTGTTTTTTGTTTTCGTTTTCAGAAGGAGTCGTTCCAGTGGAACGCAAGATCCCATGATGAGAATTGTGTCCATTGACTCAACAGGAGTAGAATGAATAACCCAGATGAGAGAATCTCAGCATCGATTGCCTTCTCTACTCCGCAAATGAAATTTCGACAAGTTAGTGAACCATATGCAAATTCATACAGCTAGGGAGAACATGGATAAACATCCCCCAGAATTCGCGATTCTCCTCTTCAGGTTCACCTTTAATTAGCTGTCGTTTTTGAAAGTTTCGCAATAAAATGGAATATTGCGTCCAGAATATGTAAATATACAGTGAATAACGAGAGGGGAAAACCTGAGCAAAACAGTTCAAATACATTGTGCATAATTTATTAATGTTATCGGAGCAAGAGCGGTCGTGTAAAAATATCTTTTGACTTGTGATTCAATGAATAATACGAAATGTGTAACAAACACCGCTTTAAATGGGCGCAAATAAAGTATTTTTTATAGTTTCACGTTTTGTTTTGATTTTTGTCGTATTCGATCAATGCCAGTAACCTTAATCTGATAAAATCTGTGTCTTTTTTATTGTTAAGTCTCATCCTATCATCGTTTACGAAGAAAAACAAAGGGAAAACAAAAGGCCTTTATTTTTCTTCTTTTACAGATATGGACGATAGCCAAACCGGTGGTAGAGAGTATTGGGATAGAATTAATTGTTTGTTCTAAGCTTATTAAAATCAGTCTCGCTCCTTTGCCAAAACTTAAATTTAGAATATGAAATGGCTAGACAACATTTACAGTTAATGTAATCTTTTTGTAATCTTTTTCGTGAGATCTTTGTTTGATTGGTCTCATTCTGGATGTTGTCGGTCGCGTTAAATGGTTTGACATTTGGCTCCACTCTATTTCACTTAAAAAATTTCAAGTCCAAGCGTGTGCTGGTGATGAAAACAACAACATTGACACGTGCCGTTCATTAAGTGCTATTGCTGCTATTTAAGAAAATTTTGCCGGAAACATGCCGGCAAAGAAAACTGGTTTCCTTTGTATTTTTCAGGAAGTTCGTTCGAATAAAAAGGCCAAGGCCGCTGTTTTTTAACTAATCTTAGCATGATTTTGATTAATTGGAAAGTTAAATGCTTGGAATTGGATAGAATAAGGTTTCAGAAACATCTGAACTTTTTTTGGTCCAACATTTTGTTAAGCTCTTGAATCCAGCTTGTACGTGGAATGATTCACGCTTCAGTGTCATGTAAAGGCCTATATTTTCATTTGAAATCTAACGAATAACAGTGTTAATGTTTGCAAAAAGACTTGTTTGTTTAGTTCGAAAGCTATCTTTTTGCTTTGAAGACTGACGACCTAAAATATGGAAGAGTTAAAGAACTTTTATAGACCTTACGCCCAGTCCTTTCAAAAGTTTTCAACATTAATTGAAGGTTTGAAAATATTTGAACTAATATTGGGAAATAGTGCCTGGTATGCAATTATAGTTTTGAACTTAAGCGACGTCGACGAATCGTTGGCCAATTTTTTGTTGTGAGTATCAATTTCCAGGTCAACGTTTATCACTAATAAAAATGAAAATAGTCGTCTCAGTATTTAGTCCTTGGTATAATTCTTGGCTTTTATCCCATTTTGTTATCTCTTCCTCTTCCTATCTTAAAGCAAGTTCAGGGTCATCCTCATAAAAATACGAAACAAACACAAAACCATATCTCTATCATCTGACATACACACAGTTTCTGTTAATTGTATCGCACAACATCAACACGGACGTACTTCACTATGAAAGTAAATGGAGCTACTAGAATATAGCTTGTAAGAGTATTAGTGTCTTAAGGACAAACAAAACATGAGCAACACGAAAATGAGAATGCTTTTAACTTTGATAGATCTCTAATTTCCTCAGTTATTATAGCTCTGCTTATTATACCTTCTCTAGAAACACGTCCTGAAAACGTTTTCCGAGACTACTAAACAACGGAAAAGTACTGCCTTTCCGTAAGTTGTTCTGATCACACTGAAAAATTTTATCCAGCATTTGTATAAGAGAATAATGTACAGTTGCACAAGAAACTAATCCAGAATAGTTTTGTTGTTTATTTCATTTTTTCTTATGACTGACACGCGACTCAATGTGCGTGCTCGACGGTCACTACCTCTGGGTAAATACAGTACAAAATCCAAAACCAATACTGCTCTGATGATATCATGAGTGTTCACACCAATACTGCTCTGATGATATCATGAGTGTTCACACCAATACTGCTCTGATAATATCGTGAGTGTTCACACTAGCTAGAGTACTTCACCCGCATAATGAGGAATGTATGGTCACACCAAGATCATATCGATAGACTCGAAAGTGTAAACCATCTTAAACAAAGTAAAACGAAGTGTAAATCACTGTTGTACAGCTTGATAAACAGGAAAACACTGAACGACAAGAGCAGTCGAGTAAAGGGAAGGAATGCATTTGACTGATTCAATTGTGTTCTCGTCAGAGTTTTGAAACTAGAATTGCCACAAAAACGTTGTACAACCCCCGCATAAAGAAGACTGAAACAATGTTTCTTCATAATTTGACTTTATTGAATTTCTTATCAAATCAACCCAGAATCAGACGTAACCAAGGCAAAGCACACACATAGCGTATTACCTTTGGTGTTTAAGTACAGTAATTTCTTTTAATTCCAAATTATTTTGACGCCCTCTGGTGAGGGGCGCATTTTATAAGCCCCTCTAGGGGGCAATGAAAAATCAATCGCAGCGAGTCCTGCAAAATCCTTCAGAGAGATAAGAAAACGTTAAATAAAACGGCTCAGTTTTAGCTATACACCTACATGTATAAAAAACGGTCAAGGATGGTGGGAAATGTTCCGCATGTGAATGTTTGTTACAAGAATAAAGTTTACATTGTACTTTGTGTGTTCCCAGAATACACATACTGAAACGACTTCGTGTAACTAGTCCCGTTTCCCTTTTCTTCTCTGGAGGACTGTTGTAGAACATATAAAAATACAGCATTTCCTGCCTGCCTTTTACAATCGAAAACACTTACATTGCTCAAAATTAAATTTAGAAGGAAAAATATGACTGTTACTTATAAAAGCGAGCTCTCCGGTAGCTGTGTTATGCTTATAAAGTGTGTACAAAAGAGGTTACAAAATGCTTAAAAGAAGTAAAGACAATCCTGGAAAGATGGCGCCTTTTAACCATAAAATAAAAACGCCTTGAACCGGGAAAAGTAACGCACAATTTCCAAGTCAGTGGATATACAGAAGACCGTGATGAACAGTAGCACTAAAACCGAAGATTACAATATCAAGACCTTGGGGGCGTTGCCCATAGCTCTCGTCTTTTCCCTCAATAGAGTAAGCTAAAGGCGCCAACTTTCAGGAACAAAAGCGAATGAAAGGTTCGTTCAGTACAGTCGCAGTAGCGACATGAAAATTTTGAAAGAGGTTACGGGAAAGAGGCTTACAATTTCGAAATTTATGCAGTATTGTTTGGAAATGCTTCATTTTACAAGTTGCATATAGATAAAAAATCAATTTATAATCAAACATATATGCAACTCCATTCTGTAAAACCAAAATTTCGTCGCGCGGTTTTAATAATGAAATAACTTCATCATTGTGCACAATTTTGTGCGATTAGCAAACCTTAACGGCTAAATCAGCTTCGTACAACAAAGCAAATGCGATAAATTATTATTCACAGCTAAAATCACTGCTCGATGCTTTTTCACGCCTAGCGTAAAGCGGAACATTGGGAGATGAACTCTGTAAAAACCAAAGATTATATCCCCCAATGAAATACTCTTTAGACATGCGCGTCTTACTTTACTCAAACGAAAGCCTAACCTCGCATGTTAAGGAAAATTTAAAGCAAAATGTGGCTTACTTCTGTAACGAAGAAAGCCTTTTTGAGAGGCCTGAATGAGTACACCAAACACCATCTTCAAAAATGCTTTAAAAAAAATAAGCAATATCCACCAAAAATAACCGAAGGAAAAAAATATGAAGTATCGTAAGAGGGATAACATTGTTTTGGCTCAGCGTATTCAAGAACATGTGAACCTTACACTCAAGTTAACCGAAAACATAACGGCAGATTCTCACAGGCCTCTCTCTTTTCACACTGATAGCTAAAATTCAAAAGGAAATTGATTGTAACAAAAACAAAAGCTTTGCTTGAATCAGCCCACAAAGACTTTGAACGAACAACAACGAAGCGCTAAAATAACAAACTACGAAAAAGCACAGCAAAATTGATCAAGAAAAACAAAATTTCAACAGACCCGAACAATAGTTTTTAGCTACCAGTGTAAACGGCAAACAAAAAATAACGCTTATGACGCATGCAAGATACCCGCTGGCGCCACACAAGCTTCGCTGAAGCGAAACAATGAAGGGAGCAAAGCTGCTTCCTCTTGCCGCATGGTAAATGTTTTACATCGACATGCCACCTCGCTTGTACACAGAGCCAGGACTTCCAGATGTTGAAGGTTGTTCTCCTTCGTCTTCAGAAGTGCTTAGAACCCTACCAAGAAATAGCAAAGGTGGTGTTCAACACAAAGATGACAAATGAACGTAGCTAAATCTACAAAGAGCAGCACTTAAAAACATTACTAAGTGGACAGGTCTAACTTTGAAGTTCACAATGCATGGGAGGAGGTTAGGAAAAAAAATACAGAACTAATGGAGCTAAAATCCAACAACTTTGCGAATTGCTACTTTGTTTAATTACAGTTAAAACTGCCACTGTAGCAAATCAGTAAACAGTATTGCCAAGACGCAATTCACGATTTAATCGACGGAGGTAAACTTGAACGCTGGCAATGCTGTGCTTTGATAACTATACTCACTCCCCTATCTCAACTGAACTTCATGTCCGAGAAACAATCATAATATTTTACACAGACTTAAAAGGCCGGCAAATAATTGGTTTAGAATCGAAAAAAGATGGTCAACACGTATTGCTTACAACGCAAAATGCATGTCAGGGCAAATTTTTGGCAGCTCTGTCGAAAACAAAGCAATGTTTATGATCACCTTGCTGGGGAATTAATTGGCAGACGTAAGAAGCAAAAACAATAACAAAGAACTTGACAACGCTGACAACAAAAGGTTTACAATAGAAAAAGGAAAGTAAAACAAGCTAACAAAACACAAACATACTGCTCAATAGTTCTCATGCAATTTTTTTTTGTTCTGATCACGACTAAAAGTTGGCAGTAGCGGTCATGCATCGCGACTGCAAACACGCTGTGATCTTTGAAATCACACCATTTGACACGTTTTCAGCCCTTTAATTTGACAACAAAACTTGCCAACAATCCATTGTTCTACAACAGAGGTCGCCAGACAAGATAGCGACAATCGTACGATGTAAAGGTCGTGTTTACGTACAAAAGCAGTGAAAGCCAAAGAATAAGTTCATAAGGACAAAGATCGTGTTTACCAAAAAAGAAACAATTTATGAACCAAAAACATAACCTTCCGAGATGCAGAGAGAAAAAAAGGTTTATTGTTTGAAGATCGTGTTTGCACTAACCTTGCAATGAAACTTAAAAACAAACAAAGAGCTGAGATATATTTGAGTGGTTATAAGACAAAGTTCAATTCACCGGAAAATTACGGCAAAAGCAACGCCCATCAGCGGACAAAAAATATTTCGAACTATTCCGAGGCGGCCAAAGTTCGAGCTGAGTAAAACAGAGGTTTTCTGAAAAAACGTACTTCACCCTTTTGAATTGTAATATTCAAAAATACAACTGGAACTAGATTGTCGATTCTTTGGTGATACATTACTTTCTTGGAGTTTTGGCATAAAAACGTGATACAAAGTTGAAACTTTGACACAAATGTAACAAACAAACTGTAAACAATAAACCACTTTGTTTAAACTTTATGGGAGTTATCAAAGCAAAGTTTGGAAAACCGACCATGTTTAATCTTTTCTTTTAAACTAGTTAATATATCTCGTTTTCGTTTTTTGTCACCTCGTTGTGGATCGTTACAGAAACGTAAAAAACAGATCGTTTTTTTTTAATTGCCGGATACCATTAAGTCCTCAAATGGGCCACCACAGACCAGAATTTATTAGATTTACTAAAGCTTCAAATCTTAATCTTTTGTTAACTTTTGTTGTTCCGCTCTAAGAGGTTTAAAAATAAAAAAGTTTTTAAGAGAGCACGTACTTTCAAGTGACCAGCTAATGGACGAACTGTAAGAGCTTACTAAGGAACTCGGTACAAGGTACAATATGATACGAACGTTTTACCAAGGAGGAAGAATTTTCACTAGCAAAATAAGATCACGATAATTTTTCACACTCAGAAAAACTAGTCCATAAAAAGTGTTTGGATAGCAACGGAAACTTATTCTCCTGTAACTGGTACAAACGGAGCAGAAACTGGCCTGAAAAAGTTTAGTTTTAATGGAAAGTGTCAACGGATTACCAACAACACTACCAATTTCAACAACATTATCATCGAAAAAGACGTTCAAATTGTGATTGGTAACTCACACGAAAACTAATAAGCAGGATATTAAAATCGTCAGATTCTGACTGTTTGATTTCTTGTTGTTTACTTACAAAGTATCAATATTCAGAGACTCAAACTTGTCCTCCAACTTTTCCTTGATATCTAGCAACAAGTCATAAACGTGTCGACTTCTGGTCTGGAAGATAAGAAAAATAGGTGAAGGTTAATGCTACCAAAAAACTTTCTTCTCTCTCTATAATGCAAAAAACCTCTTTCCCGACCAAGTAAAGTTTTGTCATTTCATCATCGAGAAACCCTTTTTCAAACAAGCGCTACTGGACGCTAAGGGCACTAATATTGTTTAACAACTTACTGTTATGACAAATTCTTCGTCTGTGCTGTTTCTTGAGCTGGTTCGCCGTCTTTTAGCACCAGGTCCCCTGTTACTAGATCCTGTAAAGAGAAGAAAGCAGATGACATTATAGTAAAACTGAAGTCGCACTTAAAACTTAACTTTAATTTCCTTTTAAAACATTTCTGTACACACTTTTCCAGGTTAAAATAATACACACCTTTTCTGGAGCGCTTTCCAGCTGCCTGAGATGAACTTGGTTCGCCACAAGCTGTTCTTTCATCAGATTTTCTGTCTCTTCCAGGACAGGCACAGACTCTTATTTCAACAACTCGTCGACCAAGAGTCTGTCCATCCTTCTCCAAAGTAAAGATAACTTCAACTGGTCTTCTACTGGGACCAGAAGCACAGCTCGAGAAACACATGAACGCAAACATCTCTGTCACATATTCAGTCCCCACTACAAACCAAACATAAATAAATATTTCAATAAAAAATACTTCAATTTCAATTTGCCGGGTGGTGTTGTAAAATGCTAATCAGTCTAGTGCACTAGCAAAACCATGTTTTTTTATTATTACTATTTCAGTAATGGACAGTCTAGAACTTAACTCTCGCAACTTCAGCTAAGACCTCTATATTGTATGAAACAGGCTGGCTGTGTTTTCAACATCTTGCCTGATTTCAATGTGTTTATATAAGATGGTAGAGTAATGCATAAAAAGAGGTCCTGGGTGTGGACAAGCCATCTTTCTTACCTTGTGGACCATTGTATGGCAGTATCACAGAGTGCCGCAAGGTCTCTGGACAGGTGTGGTAATGAGCAGCGGGATTGTTACTGCGGATGAACTGATCCTTTGGAGCAGACCCTACATTAGAAAAAAACACTTTAGCTTTTTTACTTGATGCTGGTCACTTTACACCCATGAATATTCCCACATACGGCATCATAATCAACCCAAAATATGCAAATAACATCACAAATATTTCTCAGGCATAGTTGTTATCTTACCATCATTGGAGCTTTCCATATGGTTTGGACACCTCTTCACCACATCATGAAGGTTTGTGGACCCTTTGAAAACGGCAACGGCTCTCAGGACAGTGCCAGGTGGTGGGGGCATATTCGTCTTGAATTTGATGGGGCAGAAACTGGCCAGATTGACATACAGCTTTTTGCACACATCAGAATAGGTCCATGTGGCAGATTTTGAAGCTGACTCAGTCAAAGGTCCAAAGGAAATCTGGAATCCCATATCACCAGGGTATTCTGATGTACTTGGAATAGTGGGCAGTCGGGAAACGACAGAAAACATGTTTGGAGGGGACATGGATGGCCCTGGGGGTGACGCTTCACTGAAGCTGCTCACCTGTTGAGAAAAATGTAGCCTTTTCTTAAGCAACAACGTTGCTGTTTTAAAAAAAGTCATACTTCCCTTGAAATCTTTCAGAAATTTAAGCCTAACGTGGAATTTCCAGAGAGGAAATTGTGAGGGGCAAACTTAAATAAGCTCAGCCCATGTGACTGACACAGTTAGTTAATGCAGAGCCCTCCGTACAAGAGGTCCCAAAAAGGTGGCCTCAAATCCTTGTTTCAACTTCGTTCCTTTCCATGTACCTGTACATTTAAAAGTAGCTTAAAATCATCCTAAAATTGAGCCCTGAAGGAGGTAGAGTCAGTGCGCACTGCTGGCGTAAGGTTTGGCAGTCAAATGATGACCGTTTGAGCTACAGTAACTTTATAAAATAAGGACTCTTTACTTTTACCATCTTTAAAAACAATGAACCCTATGTGATGGAAATATGGATTCTTTCTGGAAAAATTATAATAATTTACTTACATTGTCATAAGGACTGGTGTTGATGGGTGAAATGGATGCATTCCTATTCCCAGTAGAGCTACTCGGGGAGTATGCTGTATGACCGATGTTATATGGGTAGGCAGGGGGATTTGAGTATGATGGCTGGGGACTGCTGGATGTCGGCAACTCTGATGGAGAACTTGTCATCGTTACGCCCTGTCCAAGAGAAGAAAAATAGATTTTGTATAGATAAGCTCACTTGCATAAACAGTTCTCTGATGTAACAATTTTATTGCACATGTATTTCAGTTCCTGTTGTCAGAGTGCCTCTGTCACACCTTCCATATAAAATATTTTTTCAAAAAATTTATTAAAAATTCAAAGTCAGTTTACCCTCTTAATATCAGAGGCGAATATCTGTAGTACACATATAGATAACTAGTACTATCTAAATAGTACCAGTACGACAATTCAAATGAAATATTGCTGCTTTGACTGTCTCACAGGCACAGAGTTTTCAGAATTTAAAATGAAATGAAATACATGATCTACCTGATCACTGTTTGTGTGAGGCATTCTTTGGTATAAAATGGTTACCTTAAAGCAATTCTTTCCCTAATGCTTTTGGCTTTATTTCATTTTTTGTAAGTAAAAATTTACACTGGTTTAATTCGCAAAATGTGGCACTTGCAAGCAACAAAAACAAAACTTGAGATTTTACGGTCAACAATTATTGCTAAAATTAGCTCAGTGTCCACCCTCCTACTAAAACACAAAAATAGAACAACATTGCTCAATATTGCTACAGTGTACCACCTCCTTCACTAACCAAAGAAGATATGGAAAACTCTTACCAAAAAAATTAAACAATTTTTGGCAATAAAATTGCAAGTTTAAGATCCTCTAAAGAAGACTGATATCAATGCATGATTTAACTCAAGTAATGACACAACCAGTGAAAAATCCAAAAAACACATCCCTTGCTGATCACAGGAACTAAATTTAGGAACATTAATCCCATGTTATCCTAATTTTCCACAGTTCCTGGTGAAACTTTCGCTAGTGTTGTTTAAAAGTTATATTGTCTACTCTAAGGAGACATTTGCATAAAGATGCTGTTATATGCAAATCATATGACAAGGAAATTTACTCATCTATTTCCAATACTAACATTTAAGGCCTTAATACAGCAAATAAGGGCAGGAAGAAGGAATTCAATGGCTCTTAAACTATAATAAGGAAGTTGCCAACCTTAAGCACAATAAAACAAAATAACATTCTGTTCAGAATTGTATTTTTTGCTTACAAAGCTAAAAGCCGGTTGACAATAATGGGCACAATCTTGAACTTAAATATATTTTGATTTCTTACTTGAAATTGCTGACCAAATCTCATGTCTCCTGCAGTAAAACTCATTGGCTCGTGGGAATCTGAAAAAACAACAAAAAAAGGAAGAAAAAGGTTAACCCAACAACTGTGAAGGCCTGGAGGAAGTTATTGCGTATCTATTAATTCTACTTTCAAGTGCCTAAGCTGCCATCTAACTGCATCTCATGGAGTAGATTTTGACCTTGAGCAGATCTAGCTATGAGCAATTAACAAATCTTACAGTCCATTATTGTACAATTATTCCTTCATCAACCCTAATTCGAAAGATCTCTTTCTCCAGGGATTGCCATCATTTTGATCAGAAGTCATCACAGTTGCATATCAAATATATGTAAATGGAATTGTCAAACACTTTTAGACATGACCAATAGAGACATCCACTCAGGGTGTCAAAGGTGTAATTTAATTTTCTGGCCTTTCTTGTCTCGTATTACTTCAGAAGGAAATCCGTACGGTAACAAAATACAAGGACAACAATACAGGCAATATCAATTTACATCCTACAGACAGAGATTCATCAAAAATTACATCTGCTAAATTTAATTTTAAAGCAAAACATTACCTTTTGCTCAAGATTGAATTTTAGTAGTTTACCAGTACATTTTATATTGACCATGGGAAGGCAAACAAGAACTCTTGTGTGACACAAGAGCTCTTGTACACTTCATTTTTTTTGGTACACACTCATGGATATAACCTAAATAAAAATGCTTTGATTTCAACATTTCTTCTTTTCTCTCTCTCTAAAAGATGCTTGTAAAATATCTCAACAAAAACATGTAAGACTTTTTTCTACATACCTTCACCCATAGAAAGGAAACTGCAAAAAAATCAAAACAAAATATAAGTCTTCCAGAAGTTAACAAAAATACTAAAATTAGAAAGGTTAACAGTTATGGATTTCAACCACATCAGGTATTACACTGCTTCTTAAAATAGCTGGACAAAGTTTGTTGGGTGACATAAGTTGATGCCTCATGCAGATTATCACAAACTTTGTGCAGTTTTTTGGTTGTCACCCCAAAGAACCTAAGCCTTTCATTGAATACAACAGAAAATGCAACATTTCAACCTGAAGTAGAGTTGTGGGTCAATACTTCAAGTCAAAGATGAAGCTTCATCTTAGTACGGTACCAGCATGTACACCTTAGCAAAGACAACAAATTATCAAAAAACACATACAAAGAAGGGAATCCTGATGTTAGTAAAGTAATGCATTATACCTAAAGTTAAAATCTTTGTGATCTGGCCACATCTTTGACGGGAGTTGAACACCATCTAAGCTACACATTTTAGTTAGCAAAAGATATGTCTGTTTAACTCTAAGATAAAATCCCCTGTACACTGCCTGACCTGAAAAGATTCTGTGCCATGTGAAGTGAAAGAATAATCAACGCTGACTAGGCTTTAAAGGTTTAACTGGTGTCATGTAATAAGTTGACAATAATCACACTATAATGTGCCAAGTATTGTTTATGCGCCAACATTACACTGGTGAGGTACAAAGAGCATTGTGAGATCAACCAATTAGATTAACATAAAAACAAAGGAGACAATACACACATGTGATGACCATGCCAGCAAAATGCTTATAAAAACAAAAACTTTGATCTTTACATAACAACTTGTCATTCTGTTATCTTAACAGCTCTTGTGTAACATCCCCAGATAATAAAATTAAAAGAACAAAGGACATTTGATCCCTCTGTAACAGCGAGGTGATTTCAGAAGTTCAACAGTCTGTGACTAAATAAAGAATTGATGGTAGTTTTTCTTACTATAACAAAACAAACCCTGTAATTATCCTTTAAAAAAAATTCTAGAAGCAAATTAACATTAACTATCTTGGTCCCAGAAACCTAACATAACCAAAAAAACTATTGAATGTCCTGATCAGAGGTGGAGGGGTTTTTCCCTTTTCTCAACATACAGAAAAGCACCTGTCAACATACTGTGTGTATCCTCAAAAGAGATTAATTTTGTTCTGGCAGGTGCAAATAACCTACTTATAATAATCTTGCAACTCAACATCAATTAAAATACAAGGTTACAAGTGCAAATTACTGAAAATGGCAAAAAGACAAGAACTCCTTCAAAAAAAAAAAATTATGACAACACTACTTAAAAATAATAAAAATAACTAAACAGCTTATAAAAAACTGTGTGAAAGTGTGTTTCCTCAGCAGCTTTTATTTGGATGACCAAATTGTTAAATTTCATTTTATAAACTAAAAAAAGGTTGCTGAGGTGTAGGAAGTGAAGGTTCTCTCCTCACGTCTTATATAAAATGATCATTGAGTAACAATGAAACAAAATGCTCTTTTGTTGTTAATGTTGTTTGTTAATGCTTGTTGTTGTTGTTAGTTAAAGCATTGTTGTTAAGGAAGAAGACAAAAAGTGGTGCAAATTATACAAACAATGATACAACCTCTTACAAAGACAACTTCACGCACTTTTACTTTTTTGGAGGAAGGGCAAGAGATAGCATCCTAAGATTCTTGAGCTTGAAGTAAAGGGAATTCTCAAGACAAAAGTAACTCATTTCTGCTCAGTGACGATAATGTTTCAGAGAACTACAAATAGGACTAGGCAAAAACACTAGCTGACCTTGCACTTTTGATTTTATGCAAGCCCCTGCAGCTGGCCCGAAAACTGACAGCCTATTGTTCTATTTACATCATACACACTTTAAATGATGATAACAACAAGTTTTTGCAAAACTTAAGTTAGGAAACAAAAACTATCATTGATTGACAGAATTTGAAGTTGCATGCCCACTGCTTTTTGGATAAAGTGTAACTTAAGCACTTTACGGCAGATTAAATCCTTTTACCTGTATCCAAAGTAAAAAATAAAGAAACCCACAGGTTTAGTAGACTTCTAAGGCCAATTCTTTTTAACCAGACAAATTAACAGGATGAGTGCCAAAGTAGGAGAAGGATCTAATCCTTAAACTAACTTAAGATGTTTAACAAGAAAATCCTTAACAAGAACCACTTTTCTTGAATTAAAGAACAAAAATGTTACAACAGCATGAAAGCCATGGCTTACAAAAAAATCTATACGACCACAGATTAGAAAGACTGATCCTTAAAATTTGTTACTTGTTGTTGTACTGTATTTCAAAATGACATTATATTAAAAGGTTATGATTGCTAACTATTATAAGAAATGCCAACCTCTCATGATCTTAAATCTGGAGATTTTTTCCCTCCCCTAAATATAAACCCAAACACACACAAGTCAACCCAGTTCCCATTAATTATAAATGGGTGTGGCTCAGGACATTATACATTGTCTTAAATGAAGTACAGACCATCAACCATTGCAACTTTGACAATGACAAGGAAACTGGGCTGAGTTTACTTTCGCAAAGACTTTTGGGACTGTTATTGGTGACAGGGAAAATAGCTGACTGACAAAATGCAAGGGAGCAAAATGCCACCATACTATTAAGAAATTTAGAACAAACAGAACAATATTTTAGACTGGGCAACAAGAATTGCTACCATCCAGGTACTTTATTAACTTGAGAAATTCTATACCACTGATCAGATGATCTTACTCAACACTTATAAGACCACACCTCCCTAAAAAATATACAACCTATCCAAAGCAAAACTGCTAGTAAACCCTACCCCTGACAGTATACAGCCACATAGAGTAGAAACAGCACCCAGCCCCCTCCCTAATGAAGGGCATCATGGGCCAGTCATACATTCATATTTAGAAGATCACTTCTTTGTTTCTCATGAACTTTATGATTGGTGACTCAATGTCAATGTAAGGAGAAGTCAGGTCTTCATAAAAGTTATGGCTTTAAGGGTTCAAAGACCATAGTTATCCATGAGGCCATTTTAGGGTGGAGGTGGATAGTGACACCTTTATTTCACATTGTGATACAGAAATGATGTCATTTTTGCTTTTTCACTTTACTATTGAACTTACCTCCTACAGTGTCACAATAATTTTCTGAATCGAGCTTCTGACAGTTTTGTGGCCACTACTTTGGCTTTATGTTTCTCTTTTAAGGCCACATTATTTGTCACAGTTTTTCTTATCAGGGCACTGAACACTATAGTCAACATGCATGTAGAAAAGCCATATCTACCTGACTGTCAAATAAAATTTGACATTTCTTTCTAGAGTATCATTTGTAAAACTTATCACAAACACTATAAAAGAAGCCTGCAGAAACACAACACAGCTTTACTCTAGCTTGGGCTGGCTTGTATTATATTCTTAACCATTCCTATGAAATATAAGAAATGCGCAAAGACAAGAGAAAGAAATTGCTGAAACTCGGGCGCAAAGCACCAAGTAAGTACCACAAGTTAACCTAGAACTCATAAAGATACAATATCTGAAAATATTATAATACAAAATTTGACTTAGATGTGAGAATGTAGCTACACTAGCTTATACACTCCACTATAAATACCATCTGTTAAAAATCTCAACTAATGTGAAGTAAAAGTTTCAAGCATCAAAGGAGGGTTGCACACTCCTGGCAAATTAGAAACAGTGCAAGAATTTCAAAGGAATTTTTCACACTACTTTCTTCACATTGAGTATGTGTGACTCATCACATTGTAATCATGTGCCAAAAAATTAAGGCTGACTTTGTATACATACTCATTTAAAAATATAATAATTATTAAGAATATATTACAAAATACATGGACAAAACCTTTGTACAATTATCATCATCCGCCTCTTTTTTGCTTTTTTTTTCTCACAGGAATTAGTGCCTTAAGTGTTACTATTTACTTACTGTCAGAGCAGATCATAAAAAAAGGTTAATATAACAGAAAGTGTAACCGCACCAAAAGAAAATTGAACTTTAAACTTGAAAGAGATTCTTCACTTTTACTCCACACATGAACTTTCCACTGAAATAATAATATTATTACTATCAGTGGTGCAGACCTTTTTCAATAAATATCCACTTGAAATCCTAAAGTACACACCCAAATGTAGTAAAATGTTAACCTCAAACAACAACCTAAAAAGTTTGTTCCATGAGCTCACTCCTTACATCCAAACCTTTTCTTGACCTTTTTGACACAAAATGGCAAATTGCCAAATTGGGGAACTCAGAAAAAGTACAGTACAGGTAACCTTATAATAACGACAACTTATACAGTCAGTGTGTGTTAATTAAACTGGGGAATTTACAGAGCAAATTTAAGCTCCATATGTCACTTCACCAAAAAAAAATTATCTTATACCAACAACATCTTTTTCAATTATTAAAACTGAGAAAATTACCTTCAAAGGAATGTTTCATTTGCAAAAAAGCATGTACATATAACATACTGAAGGACCTGAAGCTTACAGTTTAAGATTTAATGATACATGAATGTTTGAAATGATCATTAAACTAAAGTGAAAATACTCAAATAATACTTGACCAAGACATGATGTAGTTAGTACAGCAGTTTTTGTAGAAACAATCTGCCCTAACCCGATTCTCTTCTAGCATAAGAAGCTCGTACAGTACTGTTTTTCAAGTTACTTTATAAAAAGTTTAAAAGTATTTGCATCTTCAATTCAGTGAAATGAGAGTTGTAGTTTAAAGCAAGAAAACAAAGTTCAAAGCTCAACATCAAACATGCTGAACCAGTACCTTGAAGTTGCGTTTTCAATGACCTTCTGCATGTCGAGATTTGTATAAAACATTTTATACACCCGAGCAGTTCAGAGGGCTTCGTACAAACTGTTTTTTCTTTATTTGCTCCAATTCACTTAAATTGACCACTCCTGTAAAACCCAAGATTTACACGTGTCCTTGCGGAAATGCGTGACAAACTAAAGACTTGTGCGTGTACAATTATTGGATGCCAATATTTAAGTAAACAGCTGTTAGTTTTCGCTTTTTAAATGTGTCAAAAACGCAACATCTGTAGCAACTTGTATCTTTTGATTGAGAAGGAGAAAAAACTGCTCCCTGAAGAAACAAGTTCGATTTGTTACTTAGTGTTACAGACAAAGAAAATCGACAACAACGACTGTAATGTACGATTTCTGAACAAGGAACATGATTATAGAATCGAGTTACAAAGCCGTCAAAAAAGAAAAATTCGACTTTGTACAAAAATCAGCACACACAACCGTTAATCCGACGAAATAAAAATGCTCTTGAATTTGATGCAACAAACAAGTTCAAAGGAAATGAAAACAAACAAAATATATTACAGCAAGCAACGGGAAATACGCCATTTACTAAAATGATAAGCTTTATGTTCAGGTAGAGTTAGGCTAATATAAGATCATGACCCCTCTTTCTCAAGGAATTTAAGTTTAACATCGTTCACTTTTCTTAGAAAGACTCACCTGGAACTATTATCTCCCCGAACATCGTCGAGAAGGCGTTTAAACTGCCTATCGTTAAGACTGGAGATCGTCGGTTCTACTTGTACATGTTCCGCCATATTGACTTCGTTTTGTCTTCTAAAAGAGGAAGGATTTCAATGAAAAAAGGGACAGAGGCATGAAATTTTCTTTTAAGTATGTTCAAGGAAGGTGTTAGGTTACTGTGAAGACAACTAAAGAAATAAAGTTCTATTAGCTTAGCATGCAGAATCGAATTCCTTCACTCGTGCGTGATTTCGGTCTTATGACATCCAAAATATCGTCACATGCACTATCGCACGAAAAACGAAGAAAAGCAAAAACCACAGAAATGAAAAAGAGAGGACATGCTTTTTCTGGAAGTTAGCAAGTGGAGTTTAAACTTTGGAAAAAACGCAAAACCTTTATGCAAAAGTCAACAAGGTAATACTGTAATTCATGCCGCTACATTTCCTGTTTAGCAAAACAATTGCCGTCGGGTTCGTGTTTATATGCAGATGTTATGTTCACCTTTCTTCCGACAGGTACAAACGAAATGCGACATCATTCAAAAATCACAAGGTCGAGCAATAACAAAAACAGCCTAGTATTTCAAGCAAAAACAACAACCCAACAAATACAATATCGAGGAAGCTCATACAGGTGATGAAGTGATTCCGGACGAGGTCAACTACCATTTCATTCATATTGAAATCAAAACAAGTGATGCTCGCACTACCTTGTTCCTTAAAGCACGCTTTCGATGATTTTATGAATCAGTTTCACTTGCCAACGAGTTCTTTGAACTTTTATAATGCTTTTGTATCTATTACAACTGCAAAAGCCGAAAAAATTTGCCAAAGGAACTTGCTCGGCGCCAAGTTCAGGTGTGTTTACCGTAGGTTTGGTTCCGTAATAACAGTCTTGTTCGTAATTAATACAGCTTACTATAGAAACCAGTAAGTGAAAATGCTCTAAACTGTAGCTGCAAAACAGAAACTGAAATTGAAAGCATACCTTTCACTTTTCCTTTCTGAAATTAACAACCGAACATCGACCACGCGGCATTGACACGAGTTGAAGTAATCGAGTGAAATTGATGATAAAGCAGGAAATATGAGAGGGCACCTTTTCACCAATCAGAGAATCCGTTTTACAAAGCAAATTATGTTTCAACCAATCAGAGTTTTCGTTTTATATTTTCCTAAGAATTGATTTTAAACCAATCAAAACAGGAAAGCTCGTAACTTCGGGGATTCCCCGTTTATTTCAATTTCTAGGTATATAAGCAAAGGTTCCGAGAAGATAGCTTTGAGAAAGTTTACAGATTTACAATCTCAACTCAACGGCAAAAATCACTTATGTTATATGAATCACCTGATCGTATTAATTTAAGAGTGAAAAGTGAAACCGCGAGGGTGTAATCTAATAGTCTTGTGCTTTTCATGTCCCAGTTTATCTCACATACATGTGCACCAAATAATGTCTTTGGTCTTATCTCTGCATCTGCCTAAACTCGTGGAAAAATCTTCTAGTTGTACTTTATCACAAACATGCACATAATCTGTTCCGGCCTTTTCGAGGTTTAATCCAATAAATGGCCTTTTTATGAGTGGTTTCAAATTTGTTCTTCTCCAGAGTGAATTTGAAGCCATATGTTAAAGCAATTTAATACTGACTTGCCGACGTATTCTTTCCTCCTACTCAGCACCTTATTATAATCATATTGTTTTTGATAACATATGCCGATTAGAAATTAATCTGGAGTTATAAATGAAAATTTCTTGAAGTTATGATACTACTTCAACAAGTCTCAAATGTTGGGTATAAAACTGCGCTGGTCAATTATTTCATCTTTTTGCAGCGAGCAACACTTTCATTGTTAGAAAGGACCATGTCTGTTAACTTAGTCTGCTGACTATCTAAACCTATGACTGAAATAAGATAGACTGACCAAAAATAAAGTTCATATTTGGTACACCGCTGATGGAAAACGAAGTAAACAATTACGCTATACAATTCATTCCGATAGCAGTACCTTAAATGAAACAAAGTGTTTGGATTCCTATACAATAGCTCTCTCATCCAGTGTTTATCCATCCAAATTATAGTCCTGTGGTGGGTTTCTTATCAGTGTTCAGTACACCTTGTTCAGTGACGCCGAAAAGTGAATCAAGTCTTTGTCACAAAGAGATCATGTGCTTTGACTACATGATTGTTTGCATACAGATATATGCACTAAAGAATCCTGAATTTGAAAAAACGTGATTTCATTTGGGAAGCTAGGGCAAGCCGCACTACATTACCCATAATATAAAAGTACAGCTACTTACAATCTCCTTACTGAAGTAGTAGTACAGGCTGCCTCAGAAAGAGCACTTAGGATACCAAGAGTGACACGCTAAGGGCTTAAAAATGTTCTTTTAGTTATGAATTTGCCTCTTTAAACTGCTGCCACGCCTTCTCGCACGAGAAAATGACATGTTTAGATAGTCGAGTGATATGCCAGCGCCGCGGGTCGGCAAACTCAGAAGAGGGCTTTTCCAAGCGCATTCAATGAAAAAGAAATGCAATATCAGAACTTTATTTGATAATACTATATAATCCCGCCATTGTTTGTGCTCGTATGAAACCTGTGTATAGTAAATGAGAAATTGTTTTTCTTCTAACGTTTTGCTGATATTTGCACGCAAAAAATCAAACGCAACACCGGCGGCAATCTTTGCTTAGTCCATGTTTACAAATTTTACCCTCTTAGGGAGCGGAATGGTTCGGGGAATTAGTCAATTAAAGCTTTGGCTTGGACTTTGAGACCGTAGCAAACATCTACTTGTTTTATATATCAGCCAAAATACTACACGGTAACTAAGGCCAACCACTGGCACCGAGAATTTTAAAGATGTTGGGATACACTAGAAAATACTCTTGATTGAAAAAGTCACGACTATAAATATATAAAAGCTACAAAAAGTCTAGTTCCTTTATAGCTTGTCACACATATTGAAGGAAGATGTTGATTGTACATATGTTAAATCAAACCAGTCAATACTGCCTTATTAAATTCAAAACTAACACGACAACAATGCGGACAGTTTATATTCAATATTTTGCCACAAAAACGATCTGAAACAAATGGTTTAAGGAAACCATACGTGCTTTTAAAAAGGTGGTAAAGTTATTCTTTAACTAATAATCACTGATTTATAGTATAGCCACTCGAAGCTGCAACAGCTTGAAAAAAACAGATACTGGTTTAGATTCTTACCGACTTCCTCAACGTTACGATCCTTGTGAAGTTGGCTGATTAATCGAATACTCAACACTGGCTTATCTGTCCAAAATGGCTTGAAGAAGAGCTAGGTTTTGTTCTAATGGGACAGCCTAAATTTTGAGGTTATTTTTACCTTGGCATTCCTCAGTATCTCCACAACCCCGGGATCGAATACTCAGTAATTACAAAAAATATTAAAGTGCACAATATATTTTACTTTGACGAGTTGTTTGGGATATTGGCACTCAATAGTAACAAGAGGTCTAAATCAGATTATGATCAAAGACTTTAAAGAGCCTAAAAATTTCTATTTCCCACACGCAAGCTAAATCTTTCTAGCTCCAAGATTGAATGACGACTCAGAGACAAAAACTAATCAGTGATTTAAACTATCCTTATGTTCTTTAAACACGATGTTTTGTATCACGTGAGTGTATTTTCCCTGACTATAAAATCTGAGCAAGATAACTGAAATGGGTGTTTAACTAAAAAAACATAGATGTTTCAGTAATATTAGCTGCTGCTTCTTATGTCAATACTTTAGTGTGTGAAGAGGCTTAACCGGATTTAGCTCTAAGCACTTGGAGCTTTAGTCCAAACAGGTAAGGGGTGTTGGCTGACAATTTAACAAACACCACGTACAATTATAATGTTTGAGGACATGAGACTTTTTAGACTAACTTGTGTTTGAGACGTATTAACTAATTAGTAAAAATGCTTGTGGTAAAATTGAAATTAAATTGGTGTAAAATTAAAGGGGGCTAATTTCGTAAGGCTTCTAAAAACGAATCCTTTTAAATTGCAGGAAAACTTAACTCTGACCTTGTTGAAAAAACATGCGTGCAAAAGCTGTTAGAGGAGCTGAGTTGCTATAGATAAAATGGGAAGAATGTTATTGAGCCATAAACTTTTGTTTATTAAAAACGCACTGACTTCGCTGAGTCTTAGAATTAGACTTGAAAAATCGAAGGGCAATATTTTCTTGCGCTGGTACAGGAAGAATTTTCTTCTGATGTTGTTTGTTTTCCAAGTTTGCTCAAGTAAAAATTAATTATTGTTGTTTTTTTCTGTTGGCACCGTGGGAAGCAAGAGGAAGAAACTCTTAGAAATTTTTTAAGACTGTTTTGGTTTCCATCCCGGCGGAAACTGTTCATAGCCGCTGACTAAGTTGTTGGACGACCGGGGGGTTGTCTTTCGACTGATGACCGTCTGAGGTTACGGCTACAGAAAAACGTATTGTTCTGACAATAACCTCGTGACAATATCCAAAGCTGTCAAATATATATGTTTTCTATTTCCATATAATCTTTCCAGAAATTTAGATAAGAAACGAACTGGTCTCGAGAGATAAAGTTCGATTAAGTTTTCTTAAGTCTGCCAATGCTTCTTGATTGGGGCTATATTGGTTCCCTGAGCTGGTAAGCAGGAAGATCGTCGCTTTAGAAAAGAAACGCCTTTGTTTAACAGCTTTTAACACATTCTTATTACGGCAATATCGTTACCAAATTGTTCACAATCCTTCCGGCTTGTATATTGGTATGGAGGGCTTTCACAATAGAATGCGGTTTCCAAATCAACAGCAAAAATAGCTTGCTAAAAAAGGATAGATTACGGTGAATTGAAAATAAACACGGTTTGGTGGATGATGTCACCACGCTAGAACTTTGTACGGCGCCACCAATTTACCAGCTCAGTTGGGGATTAATGCGGTATCGCGGATGCGAAAAACTGTACCATGAAGTACTTGGAGTCTATCTATACTAGATGTTCCTCTGTTACATTTATTCAGATCTTTACAAACCAAACTGACCAAAAGAATTTTAAGTGTTT